TTTTTGTTGGAGGTTGCAAATGTAAATAAACAGAAGCTTTACCACAGTTTCTGAACCAAAATATACCCTGGAGTATAATAAAGTGTCACTCAGATTTGAGTAATGAGTGACAGTATCTTTACTTTCATTCAAAAGATCAAACAGGGCAATAATATATACAACAGTCTCTCTGAATTCACACAGAAAACAGAGGGAATAAACAGTCCCTTTGATATCAAGCTGTTTTTAGTAGGGTCTCCCGGCGGAGGAGATCCCTGAGGACCGCTCAAAAGGGCCCTGGACCTTTGGTGAGGCCAGCGAGAGCCAATCCAAAGAGTAAAAAATATTACAAATAATAATGCCTCATCAAAGTGGAAGAAGTTTTTTTCCAGCAACCGAGGTTTATTTGTGATTCAGCTGAGATCAGATGCATTGCAGGAATCATTCCGCTGCAAGCATAATTTTACAGAATTTCCAAGCATTTTTATAGTACACAGACAAAGGAAAACAGTTTCAAAACTCCCGCCCGCCCTCTGTCAGCCGGCTTCGTGCTGATTGGCTGGCCGCAGAACAGCTGGGAGGAGGCTTGGCAATCAGCGGGCTCTGCTGCCTCTGGGAGGCCAATCAGTGCCTTCCTAGCGCCTCTGAAGATGGACCAATCGGCAGCTAGGAGGCGGGACGAAGCCTGACAAAGACTGAGGAAATGACAGCCTTAAGGGCATCCGCCAGCTGGAATGCGAGGCTTTGTCCTCACTTGGCGGGGTGTCAGATAGGGGAACAATGAGTTTCCTGGTCTGTGATGGGATTTGGGAGGAAATATGAAAAGGCTTTTTTCGGTATCGGACCTCAAGGGGGATCAACAATACCTAAATGATTTAATCAGTCTTTTCTTCCTGAGTTTCTGTTGACCCCCTCCTCCCCTCGCTGTCTGCTCTGAAAGCCAGGATCGGGGGGGGGGGGAAAACAACATCCCGGCCAAATGATATGATCAGGAGTTTCGGGAGGACAAAGGAGTTCCTCCCTGAGACAGTAATCCCCAGGTCACCTCTTTTTGGGGCAAGGGTCAAAGGGAAAGGCGGGAAGGGGAAACACAGTACATTCTATATGATGTTTCATTACATACATTTCATGTCTTATACATTTCATAAGGCGATCCCATCCCCACCCCAAGCAAAGTTTATTAAAACAGTTGATTTTCTATTATTTGAAGAAATTCATGGTCTCTTGGTGAAGGCACGCGGAAACGGAGGCTGCCTGCAATTCAGGGCAAGCCTTTCTAGAAAGCTTGTGTCCAGGATGGTGGTAAACAGTTCAGTTTATGAAGCATAAAGTCAGTAAGAGAAGGCGGAAGTCCGAGGATGAGCGCTGGGTCGGATGGCATCAGAGTTCATGGTTCGTCCTTTAGGAAACTATGCCTCTCTCCAGGGGCCGGGACTCCCACCTGGCCGCCCTCCCGAGGCCCCCCCATGGTTGATCCCAGTGAGTCCCCGGGTGCAGAGCCAGGCAGTAGTGAGCGGCGCGGAAGGGGAAACAGGCTGCTTTGGGAGAAGCTGAGGAGAACTGACAAACAGCTGATTTCTGTCAAATAATAATACTTTAAACAAAATGATTATTCCCCGAGCGCAGGAGTCCAAAATGAGGAAAGCGAGATGGCAGTTAGTCTTAGAATTAATAGCAGAAAAATACAAAATTAGAACGGCGTCAATCCGCCATTTTACTGTTTTAGTGGTTACTGGGGTCCAAAATGGCGGTTCCGGTATCCACGATTTTTCCGAACGCAGATCCGGGGTCCGGGGGGGGCCAGTAGGCGCCCCCCAGCAGGCTCATGGCTCTCCGGAGCCTGGAAAAAGGTTTATTTTAATGTTGAATTTGTCTGAGGCAGGGAAAGATACAAAAGTATCAAGCGGAAAGATTAAACGTTGCAAGTTTCAAGTACTTTTATTAGGGCTTGTTACAAGGTAGGGAAAGGGGAAAGCAAAGAAAGGCTGCAGGCATTCTTATCATTGAGCTGCCTGCTGGGGCACATTTCATCAGTTTCTTCCAATTGTGACAACCAGGAACTGCGGAACTCTAGGCTGCAGTGCAGGCCAATCGTTGGCGGGGGCCCTCTGCCATCACCTTTAAATAGTCTTTAAATATGCCTCATTTGCTTTATAAATAATCAGGCTTCTGAGAGTTGGCAGCCATTTCCTTCCCAACTATTTTCAGTCAGCTCTCTCTTCACTCTCCGAGATGAAAGTGGCAGTTAAAGCCATTTGTCTCAGCATCAAGCCAGAGACAGTAGCCAATCAGAACTCTGGCTTCTGGCATGCCCAGCCAATTAGCTGCCAACACACGCCTTTCCAGTCAACCCATCATATCATGGTGCCTTTTTACAAATCCCCACAGTTTTCTAATATTGAGAGTTAGACTTTTCCAAGGTCTGCAAATGGGTTTCCAGAAGGAGTGAAGATTTGAATCCTCCAGAGTCTCAGCCCAGTGCTCAAACCACTATGCTATGCTGATTGCCCAGTGTGGACACTCCTTATGGAAGCTGGTGATGTATTGTTGAAGGCTTTCATGGCCGGAATCACTGGGTTGTTGTAGGTCTTTCGGGCTGTATGGCCATGTTCTAGAAGCATTCTCTCCTGACGTTTCACCTGCACCTGTGGCAAGCATCCTCACAACCTCTGGGGATGTTTCAATCTAGAAAAAAACACATATATAGGACCATAAAGGTGCATACAGTCATTCATGAGGTAGTATCTTGTTGCAACATGCAACTATGTCAGCATAGGTGGCAAAAGGAGAAGAAAGGCCACTAGTCAAAAGGAAGCAAGGGACTGAAGCAATAGGGAACTGATTGGTTTTGTCTCTCTTTGCTCATTCGAACCATCCTGAAAAAGTGCAACCACAGCATTGCACTCTGATGATATCTTGGACATGGTGTCCAGGAAGTGGCTCTCTCATCATAAAAATACCAGAACACAGTGAGGTCATTCCATGGGACTGAACAGTGAGTGATTCAAGACAAACTAAAGGACATTCTACTTCAGAGTGGATCTGCGGTGTGGGGATTTGTAAAAAGGCACCTTGATGTGATGGGTTGACTGGAAGACATATGTCTGCATCTGATTGGGTGAGTCAGTCAGGAGCCAGAAATACTGTCTCTAGCTTGCTGCTGAGATAAATGGTTTTAACTGCCACTTTCACCTCGGAGAGTGAAGAGAGCGCTGACTGAAAACAGGCAGGAAGGAAATGGCTGCCAACTCTCTGAAGCCTGATCATTTCTAAGGCATGAAGCATATTTTAAAGACTGTTTAAAAGGACTGTTTATTCCCTCTATTCTCTGTAAAAATTCAGAGAGATTGCTTATATAGTGTTGCTCTGTTTGACCTTTTGAACTGAAGTAAAGTTACTATTACTCGTTACACAAATCTGAGTGACACATTATTATACTGCAGGGTATATTTTGGTTCAGAAACAGTGGTAAAACTTCTGTTTATTTATATCTAAAACCTCCAACATGAGGAACTCATTGTCACAAGATGTAGTAAGAGCCACCAATGTGGGTGGCTTTATCAAGCCCAGCCTACTGACCCAGAGTAAACAGCCAAGAGCCCTAATATAAATAGACCATGACATTTGGGAGTTGTAGTTGCTGGGATTTATAGTTAACCTATAATCAAAGAGTATTCTGAACCCCACCAACAATGGAATTGGGACAAACTTCCCACACAGAACCCCCATGACCAATAGAAAATATTGTGTTTTCTGATGGTCTTTGGCGACCCCTCTGAAACACACTCATGACCCCCCCAAGGGTCCCGACCCTCAGATTGAGAAACAGGACTCTAAGGTTTGTTTGTGAACTAATGGACACACACTCTGTTTATGGAGCTCTTTGCACGTTGGAGGAAGCTGCAAGGAAGAGGTTCCTGAGGGAATTCTGATAGAGAATGTATATTTTTCAACATTTCATAGAAGAAAATTAGCCGAGCAACAAGAGAGGACACTTAACATTACAAAAACGTATTATTGAAGATCATTTTTCTCAATTCCTATGTGTGCTGGCATTAAAAAGGGAGAAATCGATAATTTTTTTCCAGCAGCACATAGTTTTCATGTAAAAGAACAGAAAAATTCCTCTTTTGCCACCTTTTTTCTTCCTACAATATAAGTCAGTGAGGGATGAAGTGTTAAGCAGTGTTTAGAGCAGTGTTTCTTAGGATTGGGACCCTTGGGGGTTGCAAGTCGGTGTCCAAGGGGTCGTCAAAGGCCATCAGAAAACACAGTATTTTCTATTGGTCATGGGGGTTCTGTGAGGGAAGTTTGGCCCAATTCTATCATTGGTGAGGTTCAGAATGCTCTTTGATTGTAGGTGAACTATAAATCCCAGCAACTACAAAACCCAAATGTCAAGATCTATTTTCCCCAAACTCCACCAGTGTTTACATTTGAGGATATTGAATATTCGTGCCAAGTTTGGTCCAGATCCATCATTGTTTGAGTCCATAGTGCTCTCTGGATGTAGCTGAACTACAGCTCCAAAACTCAATGCCCACCCAACCCTTCCAGTATTTTCTGTTGGTCATGGGAGTTCTGTGTGCCAAGTTTGGTTCAATTCCATCATTGGTGGAGTTCAGAATGCTCTTTGATAGTAGGTGAACTATAAATCTCAGCAACTACAACTCCCAAATGACAAAATCAACCCCCCCCCCCAACCGCCCAAGTATTCAAATTTGGACGTATTGGGTATTTGTGCCAAATTTGGTCCAGTGAATGAAAATACATCCTGCAGATAAGATATTTACATTACGATTGAACAGTAGCAAAATTAGAATTACGGAAGAAGCAACGGAAATAATGTAATGTTTGGGGGTCACCACTACATGAGGAACTGTATTAAGGGGTCACGGCATTAGGAAGGTTCATAAAGACTGTGTTAGGCAGTCTGTATGAAATGAGATTGAGGGGGGAAAGGCTGAATTTGTCAACTTTGCTCAACTTAGTTCCTCTTTCTGCTTCTTTTTCTCCTTGGCACTGGTGCTACTTTGAGAGGCACGGACTGCTGCCTGGCTTTCTCTTTCTATCAGGTAAGTGGCTGGCTGTGTGATGCTGAGCATGATGCTATACATGTTTATTTGTGTGTGTGCATGTGTTTGGGGTCCTTCTTCCCAATCCCCATGATGTCAGGATGCAAAAAGAGTGGAGCGAAGAGGGAATTAGAGTAGGGGGGGAGTTGAATAGAGGTGGAGGTGAACTTGAGACCAGCTGGGAGATACTGATCAAGAGATACCAAGGTGAGGCTAGAGATACCTGGATATCCAGGAGGTGGGAATGGAGCTGAAAAAGACAAACCAGGCAGAGTATGCCATTTTGCCTTTGGCAGTATTACACTCTCATTTAGTTTGATGAAGAAGGCTGTAATCATAGATCTGGGGAAGAACACAACGGCTATGTAGGAAAACACAACCAAAGCCCTCCTGACAGATGGCCATCCAGTCTCTAATTAAAAACCTCCAGAGAAAGAAACTCTGCTATTTATTTATTTACTGTATTTATACCCCGCCCTTCTCACCCCGAAGAGAACTCAGAGCAGCTTGCAAGTAGGCAACAATTTAATGCGGCATAAACAGACATACAAATATAAAGATACATCAAAAACCAAAAGTTGAAAACATCTAGACATTAAATCCAATAATTAAAACCACACAATCCAAAACCATAGTCCAGGAGCCATTCCAGTCATAGTTGCACTTATTCCGTTTCTACTTATTGCACTGAATTATTGTTCAAAGGCTTGGTCCCACATCCATGTTTTTAATTTCTTTCTAAAGATTAAGAGGAAGGGAGCTGATCTAATATCGCTGGGAAGGGAGTTCCACAGCCGAGGGGCCACCACTGAGAAGGCCCCATCTCTCGTCCCCACCAACTGCACCTGTGAAGGAGGTGGGACCGAGAGCAGGGCCTTCTCAGAAGACCTTAACCTATGAGATGGTTCATAGAGGGAGATACATTTGGACACGTAAACTGGGCCAATTGTGCTGCGTAGCAGACCGGCAGCCAACGGAGCCGATGTAACAGGGGAATCGTATGCTCCTTGTACACTACTCCAGTAAGGAATCTGGCTGCCACTACTGTTATGAATCATAATGTAAATATCTGATACGCCCAAATTTGAATACTCGTGGGGCTGGGGGGGTTGAATTTGTCATTTGGGAAATGTAGTTGTTGAGATTTATAGTTAACCTTAAATCAGATATCATTCTGAACTCCACCAACAGAAAATACCTTGGGTTTTGGGGTTGTAGTTCAACTACATCCAGAGAGCACTATGGACTCAAACAATGATGGATCTGGATCAAACTTGGTGCAGATATTCAATATCCCCAAATGTAAGTTGGGGAAAATAGATCTTGACATTTGGGAGTTGTAGTTGCTAAGTTTTATAGTTCGCCTACAATCAAAGAGCATTCCAAACCCGACCAATGATAGAATTGGGCCAAACTTCCCACACAGAATCCCCATGACCAACAGGAAATACTGTGTTTTCTGATGGTCTTTGGCAACCCCTTGGACACCCCCTCACGACCCCACTGGTGGAGTTTGGGGAAAATTGACCTTGACATTTGGGAGTTGTAGTTGCTGGGATTTATAGTTCACCTACAATCCATGAGCATTCTGAACCCCACCAATGATCGAATTGGGTCAAACTTCCCACACAGAATCTCCATGACCAACAGAAAGTACTGTGTTTTCTGATGGTCTTTGGTGACCCCTTGGACACCCCCTCACGACCCCACTGGTGAAGTTTGGGGGAAATTGACCTTGACATTTGGGAGTTGTAGTTGCTGGGATTTATAGTTCACCTACAATCAAAGAGCATTCTGAACCCCACCAATGATAGAATTGGGTCAAACTTCCCACACAGAATCCCCATGACCAACAGAAAGTACTGTGTTTTCTGATGGTTTTTGGTGACCCTTCTGACACCCCCTGGCGACCCCCCCTGGGGTCCCGGCCCCAAGTTTGAGAAACACTGCTTTAGATGGAATCTCTTCTCCAGCAATTTGAATCCATTGCTCTGTGTCCTACATCTCTGGAACATTAGAAAATAATCTTTCTCCCTCCTTGTTGGGAAATTCTTTCAGAGATGTAAATATGGCTATCATGTCCTATCTCAGACTCTTTTTTTCAAGTTAAATATACCCTGCGCCCTCAGCCATTCCTCTAAGGGCTTTTGGTCGTTCTTCTCTGGAGTGGACACTTCCCATCTTGTCCATCTCCTTCTTGAATGGTGATGCTCAGAACTGGACACAGTACTCCATGGGAACTCTAACCAAAGCAGGATAGAGTGGAACTATGGCGTTTCTTGATCTAGAGACAGTACTCCTATGGATGCAGTCCAGAATTGCATTGGTTTCTTTAGCTGCCAGATCACACTGTTGACTCATTCAGCTTGTGGTTTACGAAGATTCATATATTCATGTACTGTCGAAGGCTTTCATGGCCTCACTACCTCTGAGGATGAAGCGAAACGTCAGGAGAAAATGCCTCTAGAACATGGCCATATAGCCCGGAAAACCTACAACAACCCATTCATAGATCCCTTTCACATACAATATACTGTTTTCAAGGCAGATGTTTTTATTTATTTATTTATTTATTTGATACACTTGTATACCGCTAATATCTCAGCCTGGAACGGCGACTCATTGCGGTTTACAGCAGTTAAAACAATCTACAATTTAAAAACATATACACATACAATAACAAATTATTGGGCCACCAATAATAATCCCATATATCTCAAGTTGAAATCACAATCCAGAATTCGTTGTCCATGTTTCCTGTCCTTAGTCATCAATCTTCGAATTGCCACAGATTAGCCGAACGCTTGTTTGAACAGCCAAGTTTTGAGTCTCTTCCTAAACACCATCAGCGAAGAGGCTGATCGTACCTCTATAGGGAGGGTGTTCCAAAGCCGGGGGGCCACCACAGAGAAGGCCCTGTCTCTCGTTCCCGCCAGCCGCACTTCTGAAGCTGGAGGGATAGAGAGAAGGGACTCTCCGGAAGATCTTAGGGTCCTGGTGGGCTGATAGGCTGAGATACGTTCGGATAGATAAGTTGGGCCAGAACCGTTACCCATCCTATTGGTGTACATTCAATTTTTACAGCCTAAATCACGGTGACTTCTATAAAAATGGCTTGGGTGCAGGTTTGCTACTGCATCTCTGCATCTCTGTTCCAATAAAAAGGAGTTCTGCTCCTACAAGGAGTGTGGCTGCTAACCTAGGGGGTATAGCTATGGAAAATGAAGACATTGCCCTTCAAATGAGGACTCAGGACCCAATGATATCTTCCCTTTATACACCACATTTCTAGCATTCAGTGAGACATACACTTACCCCCACGTGCTAGGTTCAAATCCCTTCGTTCATGTTGCTTTCCTCTTTTCTGGTGGCTCTCTAATTGGTTAAGTGAACAAACCCAGTGGGTGATTCTCCCCAAGGCTTCCTCTTCATCCTGGAAAGAAGCAGCGATTGGAGTGCCATAAATAAATGTATGGCATAAATGTATCGCATAAATGTATGGCATTGAATTGTGCCAATCTGTCACCCGCCTTGAGTCACCGTATGGCTGAGAAAGGCAGGCTATAAATATCGTAAACAAACAAACAAACAAACAGCGTTCCGTCCTGGGCCTGGTTCTGTTCAACATCTTTATTAATATGAATGGTTAGAAGGCATGATCATCAAGTTTGCAAATGACACACAATTGGGAAGGATAGCCAATGCTCCAGAAGACAGGAGCAGAATTCAAAACGATCTTCACAGATTAGAGAGATGGGACAAAACTAACAAAATGAAGTTCATCAGAGACAAATGCAAGATACTCCACTTAGGCAGAAAAAAAGGAAATGCAAAAATGCAGAATGGGGGACGATGCCTGGCTCGAGAGCAGGAAGTGTGGAAAAGACCTTGGAGTCCTTGTGGACAACAAGTTAAACATGAGCCAACAATGTGATGTGGCGGCTAAAATATCCATTGGGATTTTGGCCTGCATAAATAGGAGTCTAGTGCCTAGATCCAGGGAAGTCGTGCCACTCCTCTATTCTGCCTTGGTTAGATCACACCTGGAATCACACTGTGTCCAATTCTGGGCACCACAATTGAAGGGAAATGTTGACTCTAAGCTGGAATGCGTCCAGAGGAGGGAAACTAAAATGATCAAGGGTCTGGAGAACAAGCCCTATGAGGAGCGGCTTAAAGAACTGGGCATGTTTAGCCTGCAGAAGAGAAGGCTGAGGGGAGACATGATAGCCATGGATCAAGGTGTGAGGGCAATTAAAGTGTTGTCAAACTGCATCGATTCTACAGTGTAGATGCAGCCTGCGTTCAGGGAACTCTGAGGATCTTTGGGAGGGGACAAGGCTAGGAAGCAAGTGGCAACATAAGTTGCAAGCTGACAAAGAAGAACCAACGAAAGAGCAAAATAAAACATAAAAAAAAATTCAGGGGGAGTTTGCAAAGTTAGCTGAGTGAATTCCTCTTATTTGCATGAGTTTGCGTGAATATTACCAAACGTTTCCAACACACTGCTGCTTTGGATCAAATGCACCAGGAAAAGTGGGGTTCTCGTTTCCTCTTTTTTCTCCCTAGAAAGGGCAGGGAACTGACGCAAGAACTACTGACACAGCACCCCCTCCTCACCATTTTCTACTGCTCTTGCAAAATCCAACTTGTATACTTAGCACTTCGCTGAGGTGCTGAACTTGAAGACCAAAAGGTCGGCGGATTGAATCCGGGGAGCGGGGTGAGCTCCTGCTGTTAGCCCCAGCTTCTGCCAACCTAGCAGTTCAAAAGTATGCAAATGTTTGTAGATCAATAGGTACCACTCTGGTGGGAAGGTAACGGCGCTTGATGCAGTCATGCCAGCCACATGACCTTGGAGGTATCTATGGACAACGTCAGTTCTTCAGCTTAGAAATGGAGATGAGCACCACCCACCAGAGTTGGGCATGACTAGATTTAATGTCAAGGGGGAAACCTTTGCCTTTTCTCCCCTTAGCATTATCCCTCAAAGGTGGCCTTGTTGTCTTGGTACACCCAGAAGGAAGAATGACAGTTTGATACACACAGCTTCCACTGGGCTGCTGTGAGTTTTCTCTCCTGATGTTTTGCCCACATCTATGGCAGGCATCCTCAGAGGTTGTAAGGTCTGCTGTAAACTAGGCAAGTGAGGTTATGTCTCTGTGGAATGTCCAGGGTGGGAGAAAGAACTCTTGTCTGCTTGAGCCAAGTGTGAATGTTGTAGTTGGCCACCTTGATTAGTATTGAATGGCCTTGCAGCTTCAAAGCCTGTCTGGTTGCTGCCTGGGGGATCCTTTGTTGAGAGGTGTTAGCTGGCCCTGATTGATTCTTGTCTGGAATTCCCCTATTTTCTCAGTATTGCTCTTTATTTACTGTCCTGGTTTTATGGTTTTTTAAAATACTGGATTTTGTTTGTTTACATGGTTTCCTGCTTTCTGTTGAAATTCTCCACATGCTTGTGAATTTCAATGGCTTCTCTGTGTAGTCTGACAACCAGCAACCAGCCAGGGTTTGAAGCTGCAAGACCATTCAGTGCTAATCAAGTGGCCAATTCCAACATTCATACTTGCCTCAAGCAAACAAGAGTTCTTTCTACCACCCTGGACATTCCAGAGATATATAAACCTCACTTGCCTAGTTTCCAACAAACCTCACAACCTCTGAGGACGCCTGCCATAGATGTGGGCAAAACGTCAGGAGAGAATGCTTTGCTCACAGAATGGAATCAAGAGAAGGCAATTGTGTCTACTCTGTCATACCCTCTAAGTCAGTGGTTCTCAACCTGGGGTCCCAAGATGTTTTTGGCCTACAACTCCCAGAAATCTCAGCCAGTTTATCAGTTGTTAGGATTTCTGGGTGTTATAGGCCAAAACCATCTGGGGACCCCAGGTTGAGAACCACTGCTCTAAGTGGTTCTTTCAGCTGATTTGAAAATGTCCTTGCTTTGCCCTTATCTTTTCACTTTCTTCTTTTGTCTTCAGCTTACTTCAGTTGCTGCAAACTTAATTCAAAGTGCAAAAGTAATTTGCAATCAGAAAGGAGGACAGCTTTAGGATTCTAAGCATTTGGCCTTTCACCCTTCCAAGAGTGCACCTATACTCTAGAATTAATGTAGTTTAATGCCACTTTAACTGCTATGGCTTCAGACTATTGAATTACAGAATTTGTAATTTATTGAGGCACCAGCACTCTTTGGCAAAGCAAGCTAAAGCCCTTGTGAAACTATAATTACCATAGTATCATAATATTGAGCAGTGGCAGTTAAAGTGGTGTCAAACTGCATTACTTCATGCAGTGTTGATGCATCCTTCGAAGCACTCCTTTCTACCGATATTAGTGTTTCTCAACCTTCCTAATGCCATGACCCCTTAATACAGTTCCTCATATTGTGGTGACCCCCAACCATAACATTACTTTCATTGCTACTTCATTACTAATGTTGCTACTGTTACGAATTGTAATGCAAATATCTGACATGCAGGATGTATTTTCATTCAGTGGACCAAATTTGGCATAAATCCCCGATACGCCCAAATTTGGTGGGGTTGGAGGGGATTGATTTTGTCATTTGGGAATTGTACGTGCTGGGATTTATAATTCACCTACAATCAAAGAGCATTCCAAACTCCACCAATGATGGAATTGAACTAAACTTGGCACACAGAACTCCCATGACCAACAAAAAATACTGGAAGGGTTTGGTGGGCATTGACCTTGAGTTTGGGAGTTGTAGTTCACCTACAACCAGAGAGCACTGTGGACTCAAACCATGACGAATCTGGACCAAACTTGGCACGAATACACAATTTGACCAAATGTAAACACTGGTGGAGTTTGGGGAAAATAGACCTTGACATTTGGGAGTGATTTATAGTTCACCTACAATCAAAGAACATTCTGAACCCACCAACGATAGAATTGGGCCAAACTTCCTACACAGGACCCCGATGTCTTGAAGGGACATGCTGGTGCGAGCCTCCCTCCAGCCTTGCATGCTCTCTCCTGCCCACACATGCACATCACACTACATTTGCCGAGCATGCCTGCTCACCCCTCCTGTGCTTGGTGTCTCAGAAACAGCTCTCCCCGTGACCGAGAGAGGCTGGTTGAGAGTGTGGCCAATCACAGCAGAGGAGGGCTTTTGGTGGGAGGATTTACAGTCTGTTTCCAAAAAGGAAGAGAAGGACAAGCGGGGAGCTCTTCAGCTTTCTCTGCCAAAAGGGTTCCTAAGACCATCAGAAAGATGTGTCTTCTGATGGTCTTTGGTGCCCACTTTGAAACCTCCTCACGACCCCCAAGAATCCCGAACCCCAGGTTGAGAAACACTGACCTATATCATATCACCTGGTTTCAAGTCCATGTATTCTCCAGTGTTTCAGTGGGCAATATCTAATTCTGCTTGTGGTCATAGAATATTATACATTAGCATATTTCTGTCTGTTTCTTATGCTGGCTGTATCTGAGTTTATAATATGTTTGCATGTCTGCCTTGCTGTAAATACAGCAGAAGTGTTAACAATTAGTGCAACCTGGATTTATGCCTACATGGGATTTAACTCTTCTCCTTTTTGATTTTTTTAGAAGCAAGGTCCAACCACTCCAACTTTGAGGCCTTTTGCTCAAGGATCACGAAGCTTCTCCTCTTGTCTGTCTTTCTTGTCCACAATGGGTGACAATATAACATATTTTTCCATGGATGACGATTATGATTATTCAGACTATAATTCAGAAACATTTGAAGAGGAATTGAGCAACAAAATGAGCCCTATCATCTGGGTAGCACTGGTCCTTTATGCCCTTGTATTCCTGGTGGGCATGGTCGGCAACGGGGCGGTGATCTGGGTGATGGGCTTCCAAATGAAGAGCACAGTGAACACAGTCTGGTTCCTTAATCTCTCCTTCGCTGACCTTCTCTGCTGCCTGTCCCTCCCTTTCCTGGCCGTGCCACTGGCTTCCAGCAACCACTGGCCTTTGGGTGAGTTCGCCTGCAAGCTCTTGCCCTCTCTGATAATTCTCAACATGTTTGCCAGTGTCCTCCTCCTGATGCTCATCAGCATAGACCGGTGTGGTCTGGTCATGAAGCCCATCTGGTGCCAGAACCATCGCTCAAACCGTCTCGCTTGGAGCCTATGTGGGGCAGCTTGGAGTTTGGCCCTGATCCTCACCCTGCCTTCCTTCTTCACCCGAAGGCTCTTGCCCAAGTCTTTCAACGTGACCACCTGTGGTCTCAACTATGATGTCTTTGGTGGGAATCACCACCATGTGGAGATCTCTGTGGCTGTCACTCGCTTCCTCCTTGGCTTCCTTATCCCTTTTGTGGTCATCAGCGTTTGCTATGGCTTGCTGGTCTCCTGGGTGCAAAGCAGCCGCTTCATGCGCTCCAAGAAGACTATTATAGTTGTGCTGGTGGTCATTGTCAGCTTCTTCGTTTGCTGGGCTCCCTACCATGTGGTTGGCCTGATCCTTGCCAATGAGCCCCGAAATAGTTTACTTTACAATACTGTAAGTGAGGCTGACTCGCTTGTGGTGGCCATGGCGTACATCAACAGCTGCATCAACCCCATTATCTATGTCATTGCCGGCCAGGACTTCAAGTCCAAGATGCAACGCTCCCTGAAGGTCTTGCTGCGCAACATCTTGAGTGAGGACGCCATATATGCCAATTCCATGACCAAGGGACATACACAGGGTGTCGGCACAACCACGGAGGACCGGAGCACTGCTACAACCTTATGAGATGAGCAATGGAGGTGGGCCAGTCCTTTGCAATACAGGTTCAAAGGTCGGGGTTGGCTTGATGTGCGTTCTTCTTGGCACGTTTCTCCCTTTTGCCCTCCATTTGTGCCTCTCCAAATTCCGCAGCACTGCTGGTCACACTTGACCTCCAGTTAGAGCGCTCAAGGGCCAGGGTGACTTCCATCTCAGGCTGGATCTACACTGTTCTATATCCCAGGATCTGAACCCAGATTATCTGCTTTGAACTGGATTATATGAGTCTAAACTGTCAGATAATCTGGGATGAGAAGACAACCTGGGATCAGATCCAGTGCAGATCCAGCCTCAGAAACCCAATTTGAAGTTCCTGTTTGATTTATCATGTGGATTTCCAGTGAAAGCCAGGTGTGATGAATGGCAACTTCGATCAGGACAAGGGACATATGCTATGTTTACCCAAGCTTTAAGTATTATTGTTGAATATCTTTTAATAATATCTTGGTGTAATCAATAAACAGTCTTCTTACTGAATCTGTGACTTGGTGTCTCTTTGATGTTCCAGCTGGAATCTGATTGAATCAGAAACCCAAAACTACCAACAGCTAAAATTCCCAGGTCAGGATTATCTGAGGGTCCATCTGAATTAATGTAGATTGATATCACTTTAATGCTATGGAATAATGGTGAGGCATAGCACTCTTTTGCATAGAAAGCTAAAGACTTTGCAAAACTACAGTTCTCATGATTCCATAGCATTGAGCCATGGTTGTTAAAGTGGTGTCAAACTGCGTTAATTCTACAATTTAGGCTGGATCTACATTGCTCTATACCTCAGGATCTGATCCCAGATTATCTACTTTGAACACAGTTACATGGCAGTGTAGACTCATATAAACCAGTTCAAAGTGTAGACTCATGTAATCTAGACCTGCCTTGAACCATGGGGAGAGACAGTTAAGATATAAAATTATTATTGTTATCATCATCATCATCACCATCATCACCATCATCATTATTATTAAAGCAGAGAATGTGGATTATCTACTTTGATAATATGCATAATATTTTTGGCCTATTAACTCTTTCAGTGTTTGAGTCACAATTTTGTAGCCAAAAATACCTAGTTAATGATATTTCTGACAGAACTGACCTTCCTTTCCAGGAGTTGTAGTGCACCCACCACCAGAGAAACTGTAAACTCCACTGATGATGGACCTGGACCAAACTTGGCACACAGGATATCCAAGCTAGTTATAAACAGAACCTGAAATCACACAAACAGTTGCATAATAAAGTTATATATAACTCCCAAAACCATAAAAACATAACAATTATTGTGTTGTCGAAGGCTTTCGTGGCCCCCTGTGGCACAATGGGTTAAACTCTTGTGTTCACAGGACTGAAGACTGACAAGTCGCAGGTTCGAATCCGGGTAGAGTGCGGATGAGCTCCCTCTGTCACTCCAGCTCCCACTAGGCAAGTGAGGTTTATATATCTATGGAATGTCCAGGGTGGGAGAAAGAACTCTTGTCTGTTGGAGGTAGGTGTGAATGTTTCAATTGGCCACCTTGATGCATTTAATGGCCTAGCAGTTATGATTACTATATTACTATATTGCACTTACTTACTTATTGAGATGATTCCTCGTAGTCCGAGGATGATGGTTTTCCAAGTGTAGTATCCTAGCGGTGGGTCCGTAGGTGACTGTGGAGCCCTATTCTTGATCTGCATCTTCTCCCACAGTGAAGGCATTGGTTTCCAGGTGGAAGGTGGTCCTTGTCGGGGTTGGCTTGATGTGCCTTCCTCTTGGCACGTTTCTCTCTTTTGCCCTCCATTTGTGCCTCTTCAAATTCTGCAGCACTGCTGGTCACAGCTGACCTCCAGCTGTAGTGCTCAAGGGCCAGGGCTTCCCAGTTCTCCGTGTCTAAGTTTGGCTTTGAGCATAACAGTAAATAAAGACAGGGGAGCTCCAGACAAGAAACAAGCAGGGACAGCTCGTCAGTTCTCAACAAAGGATTCCCCCAGGCAGTAAGAAGCCATACTTTCAAAACTGCCAGGCCATTAAATGCATCAAGGTGGCCAATTGCATGATTCACACCTGCCTCCAACAGACAAGACTTCTTTCTCCCACCCTGGACATTCCACAGATATATAAACCCCATTTTCCTAGTTTTCAGCAGACCTCACAACCTCCAAAGATGCCTGCCATTGATGCAGGTGAAACGTCAGGAGTGAATGTTTCTGGAACACTTACAGCAACCCATAAAAATTATTTCAACGATAAAAACATGAAACTTGGTTTAACGAGCTCCCAAAAATTCACTAACATTTCAAAAATATTTAAAAATTCAAGATTGGCTATTGCCGTTGTAGCAGCATATTATAATATTATAATATGCTGCTACAACAGCAATAGCCAATATTGAATAATTATTGGAGGAATTATTTCCTTTTAGGAGGTCAGAAAAGTACGGCTTTTATTTCCAACTGGGGCTCTGGAGTGGAGCTTTCTCCAAAAGCATCCAGAGCAAATGATATAGGTGTTGATGGCCTTTTTATACCCTCCAATTGCAAGCAAACAAAGAACATGCTTCTACATACATTGGCATCATTCTCTACATCACTTTAGCATCACAGGAATATCAAATTCTACCTTCCAACATACAAAAGTCATGTCTCTGTGTATTTCTTTCTAGCAGCAGCTTACAGCTTACATTCATCAATCAAGGGGCCTACTTTGACCTGTCATGAGGGAGAGGTAGGCTGTTGTACCAGTCTCTCTCTCTGGAATGTATAGATATCATGCCCCCCTCTTTAGCCCCCCTCTTGCTGTGCCTGGACAGCAGCTTGCTTGTCCTGTTAGCATTCTTTCTGATACAGAGAGAGCATTTCAGTGCTTGTAAAGTACATACAATTTATACATAAATCAATATCTATATTTCCAATATCTCCTCATCACCGTAATATCTGACAGCACCAGGCTAACCCGCCAAGGCTAGAGGACAATGAAAATATCTAATCAAAATAGGATCCATGATAGATAGGAGAATACATGTCTAAAAACTGGGGACCCTAGATAAAGCATCCACATCCAAATGCAACTAACTTTCTCCTTGTTAAGTACTGTTTTTGTGCAAGAATGGCAACACATGGCAATGCCTGTGTGATCCTGTGTGAGTTATATTAATTGTATTGTTTATTTTGCTTATTGCTTGTTGTTTTTATTGATGTGTTGGTGGGCTTGGCCTCATGTAAGCCGCTCTGAGTCCCTTGGGGAGATGGTGCTGGGGTGTAAATAACATTATTATTATTATTATTATTATTATTATTATTATTATTTCCATAGGGCAGCCATGCATGGCCCTGCCCTATGTCTGCGGCAACCCTTTCCAGAAATACAGAACTGCTGAGATCTGCAGTTGAGAATCAATGCTGAGTTATGGCTTCAAATGTTAATTTTGTTTACCGTTGGTTGATAGGGAAGCAGCAGTGACCCAGAGTTTGTTGTGGCATGAAAAAGAGGAAGCATCAGCTGACGGTGCAATTAATCTGAATGTGTTGTTGTTCATTCGTTCAGTCGTCTCCGACTCTTCGTGACCTCATGGACCAGCCCACGCCAGAGCTCCCTGTCGGCCGTTACCACCCCCAGCTCCCTCAAGGTCAGTCCAGTCACTTCAAGGATGCCATCCATCCATCTTGCCCTTGGTCGGCCCCTCTTCCTTTTGCCTTCCACTTTCCCCAGCATAATTGTCTTCTCTAGGCTTTCCTGTCTCCTCATGATGTGGCCAAAGTACTTCAACTTTGTCTCTAGTATCTTTCCCTCCAATGAGCAGTCGGGCTTTATTTCCTGGATGGACTGGTTGGATCTTCTCGCAGTCCAAGGCACTCTCAGAACTTTCCTCCAACACCACAGTTCAAAAGCATCTATCTTCCTTCGCTCAGCCTTCCCTAAGGTCCAGCTCTCACATCCGTAGGTTACTACAGGGAATACCATGGCTTTGACTATGCGGATCTTTGTTGCCAGTCTGATGTCTCTACTCTTCACTATTTTATCGAGACTGGACATTGCTCTCCTCCCAAGAAGTAAGCGTCTTCTGATTTCCTGGCTACAGTCTGCATCTGCAGTAATCTTTGCCCCTAGAAATACAAAGTCTGTCACGGCCTCCAAGGTTTCTCCTTCTATTTTCCAGTTGTCAATCATTCTTGTTGCCATAATCTTGGTTTTTTTGACGTTTAGCTGCAACCCGGCTTTTGCGCTTTCTTCTTTCACCTTGATTAGAAGGCTCCTCAGCTCCTCCTCGCTGTCGGCCATCAGAGTGGTGTCATCTGCATATCTGAGGTTGTTAATGTTTCTTCCAGCAATTTTCACCCCAGCTTTGCATTCATCAAGCCCCGCACATCGCATGATGTGTTCTGCATACAAGTTAAAAAGGTTGGGTGAGGATGCAGCCTTGCCGTACGCCTTTCCCAATCTTGAACCAGCCTGTTGTTCCGTGGTCAGTTCTGACTGTTGCTACTTGGTCCTTGTACAGATTCCTCAGGAGAGAGACAAGGTGGCTTGGGATGCCCATCCCACTAAGAACTTGCCACAATTTATTATGATCCACACAGTCAAAGGCTTTAGAATAGTCAATGAAGCAGAAGTAGATGTTTTTCTGAAACTCCCTGCCTTTCTCCATTATCCAGCGGATATTTGCAATCTGGTCTCTCGTTCCTCTGCCTTTTCTAAACCCAGCTTGAACATCTGGCAACTCTCGCTCCATGTATTGCTGGAGTCTTCCTTGCAGGATCTTGAGCATTACCTTACTGGCATGAGAAATAAGGGCCACTGTACGGAAGTTTGAGCAGTCTTTCGCATTTCCCTTTTTTGGTATGGGGATATAAGTTGATTTTTTCCAGTCTGATGGCCATTCTTGTGTTTTCCATATTTGCTGGCAAATGCCATGCATCACCTTGACAGCATCATCTTTTAAGATTTTAAACAGTTCAGCTGGGATCCCGTCGTCTCCTGCTGCCTTGTTGTTAGCAATGCTTCTTAAGGCCCATTCAACCTCACTCCTCAGGATGTCTGGTTCTAATTCAATCTGAATGTAGACCACATCTTATAGCAAACACCACAAATTTTGAGTTCTGCAGAAAAGAAGGTCAAATTAGATACCAAACAGACCAGAGTTTCTAAGAAAGAGGCAATTGCAAGGCAAACAGGCAAACAAATGGAATATTTATCTCACGTTGGCATTCATGGCTGGAATCACTGGCCTGCTGTGAGTTTTCCAGGCTGTATGCCCATATTCCAGAAGCATTATCTTCTGACGTTTTCCCCACATCTATGGCAGGCACCCTCAGAGGTTCAAAGTAGATAATGTGGATTATCTGCTTTGAAAATCTAGTTTACCTGTCTGAACATATTTCTCCCTATGAACCATCTAAGACAGTGGTTCTCAACCTGTGGGTCCCCAGGTGTTTCGGCCTACAACTCCCAGAAATCCCAACCAGTTTACCAGCTGTTAGGATTTCTGGGAGTTGAAGGCCAAAACATCTGGGGTCCCACAGGTTGAGAATCACTGATCTAAGAGTTTAAGATTGTCTGGGGAGGCGCTGCTATTGGTCCCGCCTTCTTCACAGGTGCGACTGGTGGGGACGAGAAACAGGGCCTTCTCAGCGGTGGCCCCGCAGTTGTGGAACACCCTCCTTCCTAATGCCGCAACCCCTTAATACAGTTCCTCATGTTGTGGTGACCCCCAACCATAAAATTATTTTTGTTGCTACTTCAAAACTGTAATTTTTGCTACTGTTATGAAGCATAATGTAAATATCTGATATACAGGATGTATTTTCATTCATTGGACCAAATTTGGCACAAATACCCAATATGCCCAAATTTGAACAGTGGTGGGGTTGGAGATTGATTTTGTCATTTGGGAGTTGTAGTTTCTGGGATTTGTAGGTGAACTACAAATAGTTCAAATAGTTCACCTACAATCCACCAATTCAAAGGGCATTCTGAAATCCACCAACAATGGAATTGAATGAAACTTGGCACAGAGAACTCCCATGACCAACAGAAAATACTGGAAGGGTTTGGAGGGCATTGACCTTGAGTTTTGGAGTTGTAGTTCATCTACATCCAGAGAGCACTGTGGACCCAAACAATAATGGATCTGGTCCAAACTTGGGCACAAATACTGCCCAAATGTGAACACTGGTGGTGTTTGTGGAAAATAGACCTTTACATTTGGGAGTTGTAGTTGCTGGGACTTATAGTTCACCTGCAATCAAAGAGCATTCCGAACCTTACGAATGACAGAATTGGGCTATGGAATGCCCTACCCATTGACATCAGACAGGCCCCTTCGCTGCTGGCGTTTCAGAAGAAGGTTAAAACCTGGCTCTTTGAGCAAGCGTTTGGCTAATCAGCGCAATTGAACATAGAACGACGGTAAATTGAACATAGGAATGGCACAAGGATTATGAGAATGGATTTTGCTTTGTGATCGAGGCATCATGAATTGATAATAATTGTGTATTTTGTTATTGTGTATGATGTGTTTTAACTGTTATTGTTGTGTTAATTTACATTGTGTAAACCGCATTGAGTCGCCTAATTAGGCTGAGAAACGCGGTATAGAAATAAAGCAAATAAATAAATAAATAAATAATAAATAATTGGGTCAAACTTCCCACACAGAACCCCCATGATGAACAGAAAATACTGTGTTTTCTGATGGTCTTTGGCGACCCTCTGACACCCCTTGCAACCCCCACAGGAGTCCCGACCCCCAGGTTGAGAAACGCTGAATTATACACATACATAAACATTAAAATCATTTATCTCAACATTAAAATCTACTGTTTAAAACCGTCTCGATCATCCGCATCAAATCTAGTTGGCATGGTAAGGTTTCCTATTGCTGTCTTAGCCCAAAAGCTTGGCCCCACAGTCAAGTTTTTACCATTTTTCTGAAGGACAGGAGGGAGGGGGGTTGATATAATCATGGGAGTCGTAGTTTTACAAGGTCTTCCTCCTTCTCTGCCCAAGAGTGATGGTGCCTCACCAGTCTACAACTCCTACAATCACATATTACTGAAGCAGCTAAACTATTATAAAACTGCATTAATTCTACAAGGAGTCCCCGGTGGCGCAGTGGGTTCTAATCTGGGGAAAGGCGGATGAGCTCCTTATATCAGCTCCAGCTCCTCATGCGGGGAAATGAGAGAAGCCTCCCACAAGGATGATAAAAACATCAAATCATCCGGGTGTCCCTTGGGCAACATCCTTGCAGACGGCCAATTCTCCCACACCAGAAGCGACTTGCAGTTTCTCAAGTCACTCCTGACATGACAACAACAACAACAACAAAAATTCTACAGTGTAGATGCTCCTTTAACTGCCCTGGCTCAATGTTATACAATCCTGGGAGTTGTAGTTTGGCATAGCAAGCCCTCAACACTCTTTGGCAGAGAAGAGAAGAGCTTGTCAAACTATATCTTTGAATGCAGTCAAATTGCCTTCATTCTTCAGTGTGGAACCAGCCCTTGTTCAATGTTAGGGCGGAAGCCGGGCAAAGCTCCTGTTTTGGCAGCGTCAGTAGCGAAGACTGAGCATGCCCGGCGGAGACCAGCGACGCATGCGCAGTAGCAGGAAGCTCTCTTGCCCTGCAGCTTGCAGGCGGGACAGGAGAAAGAGGTGAGGATGCGTGTCGTTGGCGTAACGTGAGAACACAGAGTTGGGGGAGGTTGGGATGTAGGGGAAAAACATCCCAAGGGGCTTTTGTTTCCAGATCTCTTACAAAAGTAAGCTTTTCCAGAGGCTTTTAGTCTTTTCCTTGTTATTATTATTATTCATTCATATCCCAAAGCTGTATCTCTATTGTAGAATGAATGCAGTTTGATTGCTATGGCTAAATGCTATATTGTAGTATAGTTTGGTAAAGCACCATCCTTCTTTGGCAGAGAAGGCTTTGCAAAACTATAAATCCCAAAATCCTATAGCATTGAGCCATGTTTCAGATGATGTCAAGCTGCATTCATTCTAGATGCACCACAAGATTGTGATTCCCAATCTTTTTTTCAGGTATTTTGGACTTTATTTTCCAGAAACCTTCAAAACTATAACTCCCAAAATCCCATAGCATTGAGCCATTTGTAAGTGATGTCAAACTGCCTTAATTCGACAGTGTAGATGCATCACAAGATATTGATTTCCAATTCTTTTCCCCCCAGGTATTTTGGACTTCATTTTCCAGAAACCTGCAAAACTATAACTCCCAAAATCCCATAGCATTGAGCTATTTGCAAGTGATGTCAAACTGCCTTAATTCTACAGTGTAGATGCATCACAAGATATTGATTCCCGATTCTTTTTCCTCCCAGGTATTTTGGACTTCAGTTTCCAGAAATCTCAACTTCCTGGGTCAATGATCAGTGATTCTGGGAGCTGAAGTCCCAAAATATGGAAAGCCAGAATTTGTGGCTGCATCTACACAAGGCATGGGCAAACTTGGGCCCTCCAGGTGTTTTGGACTTCAACTCCCACAATTCCTAACAGCCGGTAGGCTGTTAGGAATTGTGGGAGTTGAAGTCCAAAACACCTGGAGGGCCCATGTTTGACCATGCCTAGTGTAGATGCATTATAATATAATATAATAATTATTGTACTATAATAATGTAATATAATAATAATATATCAATATATGTTATAATATATTATTATATTATTATATTGTAATAATTATTACATTATTAGATTATGATTATATTATATAGAAGCTGTATCCGCCACGTGTTGCTGTGGCCAACCTTCCCTCCCTCTTTCTCTCCTCCTTCCCTCCCTTTTTCCTTCCCTCTTTTTCTTTCCCTTCTTCTTTCTTCCTTCTTCTTCGTTCTTTGGTTACATCCTTCCTTCCCTCTTTCCTTCCTTCCCTCCCTCTTTCTGTCTTTCGTTCCTTCTTCCTTCCCTCTCTCTTTCCTTTCACTTTTTTATTTCCTTCTCTTTTTCCTTCCTTCTATACTTTTCTTTTCCCTTCCTCTCCTTTCTATCCCTCGCTCCTTCTCTCCTTCCCCTTCCCATGGAGGTAAGATCAGCCCCCTCGCTAATGGTGTGAACAGGCATTTGGTTAATCAGTGCAATGAATGTGACGATTACAGGAATGGAAATATGGATGACGAATTTGGATCACGACTCTAGTTATGAGATGCATTGTGTTGTTATTGTTGTGTCAATATTGTATATTGTGCTGTAATGGTTTTAAATTGTATATCGTTGATTGATCTTATCCTTGTTGTAAACTGCGTTGAGTCGCCTGTTAGGCTGAGAAACTGTGGTATACAAGTAAATAAATAAATAAATAAATAATTAATAATAAATAAATAAATAAATAATGGGTAATAATAAATAAATAAAAAATGGGTGATAATAATTAAATAAATCATAGTTAATAAATAACCGAAAGGTTGCCAGTTTGAATGCAGGGAGCAGCGTGAGCTCCGCTGTTAGCCCCAGCTTCTGCCAACCTAGCAGTTTGAAAACATGCAAATGTGAGTAGATCAATAGGTATTGCCTCTGTGAGGTGACAGCGCTCCATGCAGTCATGCCAGCCACATGACCTTGGAGGCGTCTATGGACAACGCTGGCTCTTTGGCTTAGAAATTGAGATGAGCACCAACCCCCAGAGTCAGACACGACTGGACTTAATATCAGGGGAAAACCTTTACTTTCACCAATAATAATAATAATAATAATAATAACAACAACAACCACTTTATTTATACCTCACCACCATCTCCCCAAGGGACTCGGAGCAGCTTACATGAGGCCAAGCCTGACAACACATCAATAAAACAAAAAACAATACAATTAATATAACTCACATATAAACAATAACACGCAAGGATTTAAAAAACCTATGGCCGGGCCAGATGTAATAGTTTAAAAATTTAAAAATATACATTATAATAGAATACTTTATATGTGTGTGTTATATTATTATTATACTATATTATAATTATATTAATATATGTTATAATATTATTATGATGGCACAGGAGACATGGTGGAACTGTGTCTTCCTGGCTTCCCCCTCTTCACTCTGGAATCGACACTGTCATATAATCCAGTTCAAAGCAGATAATCCGGATTGTATATGGCAGTGTAGAAGGGGCCAAAGATCAATGGGAACTATACAGTAGGCGACTCTGAGGAAAGAGAGAATGAATGGATGACCCACACATGATCTGAATTATTCTCATGTCCCATTTTCTCTATGTTTTCAGGAATGTCAGCTTGTGGTCTTCATGTATAATGGGGTGCAGGCCACAAGGGAAGGTGAGAGTCCCCTCCATGAACACAGCTTGGAAAAATAGAACGTATCGCTCTAGAATCTAATTTCTTGCCTGCCCACCTGCACAGAGACCTCACTCATTTCCTGGAGCAGTTCTTTGCCAATCTTGCCTCTCTGTGCCCTTCTGTACCAACACTTATTTGGAGATGGCATCAGAAGAGAAGGAGAGAGGCCAAGGGCACAGCAAATGGGACTGGGGATGCCTGGCCACCCGGGAGCGCCTAGAAGAGGTCTACCTCGGGGGCCAAAGCCGAGAAGAACGCAGCGAGTTCTGGGCCTTCTTTGAGCGGCTGGAGCGCTTCCGCAGCCTCAAGGCCACTCAACGTCCGACAGAGAAAGGCCACCGGGCGCCCAAGTCCGAAGTCAGCCCCGTAGCAGGGCTGCCACAGGAATACGACTCCCGTTACCGTACCAACCTGTGGCTGCCCACAAAAGAGGTGTCTGGCTTGGACTCAGAACAGGTGCGGGCCTTCCGCTTGGCATTGCTCCACTTCCTGGACTTCCGACAGAAACAAGGCTTCGCCCGCCTGGCCCGGTTGCAGCGGGAGCGGGCCGCTTTGCCCATTGCCCGTTACAAAGACCGGTTGCTGAAGGCAGTGGCCAGTAGCCAGGTGGTGGTGGTGGCTGGGGACACCGGCTGCGGCAAATCCACCCAAGTGCCACAGTACCTTCTGGATGCCGGTTATGCCCATGTGGCCTGCACTCAGCCACGGCGCATTGCCTGCATTGCTTTGGCTAAGCGGGTGGCGTATGAGAGCCTGCAGCAATATGGAGACCAGGTAAGGGATTGCAGGAAATGACTTCTTGGCTTGGAAGTGGGGAGTACAAGAGCACTTTGGAGTATGTACTAATAGCAGTTATAAAATAGCAACAGCATTACAACAAATGGTCTTTAAAAGTTTATCCATCCTAAGCTACATCATTCTTCACTTGTATTATTATTATTATTAAACTTTATTTGTACCCCGCTAGCATCTCCCGAAGGACTCGATGCGGCTTACAAAGGCCAAGGCCTCAACACACAATATAACAATACAAAACCTAAGGCAAATTAAAAACAATTAAAGCAATATAAACAACAAGCAACAAACAATACACTAAGACACAATAAAACTGGGCCGGGCCAGAGTAATGGGTACAGGATTAAAAGTGCTGATGTGACAGGTGGTATATAAGGCTTATATGGCAAGTGCAGTGTGCGGTGCGGCAATCTCAATTCTACTAAAGTGCTTCTGGGACTTGTTGTTGGAGATTCCTATTCTGGAAAGGCACATCGGAACAGCCAGGTCTTCAAATTCTTTCTGAAGACTGCCACTGTAGGGGCCTGTCTAAGATCTTTGGGGAGGGTGTTCCAGAGTCAGGGGGCCACCACGGAAAAGGCCCTGTCTCGTGTCCCCACCAAATGCGCTTGCGACGCAGGCGGGATCACAAGCAGGGCCTCTCCAGATGACCGAAGTGAACGCGTGGGTTCGTAGACGGAGATGCGGTCACGCAGGTAGGATGGTCCCAAACCGTTCAGGGCTTTGTAGGTAAGCACCTGCACCTTAAATTGGGCTCGGAAAATAAAAGGCAGCCAGCGGAGCTCCTTGAACAGGAGGGTTGACCTCTCTCTGTAAGGAGCCCCAGTTAACATCCTGGCTGCTGCCCGTTGGACCAGTTGGAACTTCCGAGCCGTTTTCAAGGGCAGCCCCACATAGAGCGCATTGCAGTAATCCAATTTGGAGGTGTCCAAGGCATGGGCCACCCCGGCCAGATCAGCCTTTGTGAGGTATGGTCGCAGTTGGCGCACGAGTCTTGTGCGAAAGCCCTCCCAGACACCGCCGACGCCTGAGTATTGACAAACTGGGTGCTTTCCACATTCTAATCACTATTGTACAACCCCTAATGCTACATAATTGTGAATCCATAGAGTTCAATATAGTCACAGCTCTAATATAAAAGCTGTTTCTCAGTCCTTGTTTTTGTCATCCTATAGCGTCAGCCAAATGGTAATAATTAAAAAAAAGAATATCCAGAGTGAGATGGATCCTTAAGAATATTTTGAGCTTTCTTAAGTTTACTTGTCTGAACGTATTCTCCCCTATGAACCATCAAGGACGTTAAGATCTTCTGGAGAGGATCTGCTCTTGGTCCCACCACCTTCGCAAGCACGTTTGGTGGGAACGAGAGACAGGGCCTTCTCTGTGTATGAACCATCAAGGACGTTAAGATCATCTGGAGAGGATCTGCTCTCGGTCCCACCACCTTCGCAAGCGCGTTTGGTGGGAACGAGAGACAGGGCCTTCTCTGTGATGGCCCCTCGGCTATGGAACTCTCTCCCTAGCGAGATTAGATCTGCCCCCTCCCTCTTGTCCTTCAGGAGGCTAGTGAAATCCTGGTTATGGAACAAATGGCTGAGACTGGTTACAGACCAAAGTGAGTGACCACATATGCGGACTGAGTTGAACATGATTTTACCTTGGCGATTTGGTATATATGTATTTTATCTATATGTATTTTAATCTTGTATTGTTGCATGATGTTTTAACTTGTATTAGTAGCATTGAATCCTTGCTGTAAGCCGGTCTGAGTCCCTCTATGGAGGTGAGAAGATCGGGATATAAAAGTTTTAAATAAATAAATAAATAAGGGTGCAGGAATTACAAAGTTCTTCCGAAGAGCGGAGAGGGCCAACAAGTCTCTGGAAAGTAGTGATAACCCTCTGGAGTGCTTTCCTATCTGCTGCTGTGCAATTAACAAATCCTGCACACATACAATAGGTTAGAACCCTCTATAGCAGGGGTTCTCAACCTTCCTCATGCTGTGACCCCTTAATACAATTCCTCATGTTGTGGTGACCCCCAACCATAAAATTATTTTCCTTCCTACTTCATAATTGTCATTTTGCTACTGTTATCAACCGTAATGTAAATTACGGTTGATGGATTTTCATTCACTGGACCAAATTTGGCACAAATACCCGATACGCCCAAATCTGAATACTGGTGGGGTTGGGGGGTGGGGACTTGATTTTGTCATTTTGGAATTGTGGCTGCTGGGATGTGTAATTCACCTGCAATCAAAGTGCATTCTGAACTCTATCAACGATGGAATTGAACCAAACTTGGCACACAGAACAGCCACAGCCAACAGAAAATACTGGAAGGGTTTGGTGTTGAGTTTTGGAGTTGTAGTTCGCCTACATCCAGAGAGCACTGTGGACTCAAACGATGATGGATCTGGACCAAACTTGGCACAAATACTCAACATGCCCAAATGTGAACACTGGTGGAGTTTGGGGAAAATAGTCCTTGACATTTAGGGAGTTGTAGTTGGGATTTGTAGTTCACCTACAATCAAAGGCATTCTGAACCCCACCAATAACAGAATTGGGCCAAACTTCCCACATAGAACCCCCATGACCAAAAAAAATACTGTGTTTTCTGGTGGTCTTTAGTGACCCCTCTGACACTCCCTTGTGACCCCTCCAGGGGTCCCGACCCCCAGGTTGAGAACCACTGCTCTATAGCACAGTGGTAGAAAGTTACCAGCAGTTTTTCTTTCAATTGCTGCTTTCTTAAAAGTCTCAGATTGGCTACTGGCTCCACTTGATCTCTATTTATAAACAAAGGCAGATTTTCCGAGCTATTTCTTCTGTAATCTACTATAAGGTCCTTGAAATCAATCATTTACAAAGCTTGCTAAAAGACTGATTTTCCTTTTTATGAAATACAGTTGAAGCATCTTCTGCAGAGTCTATTGTAAACACTGCACAACATTCATTTAAATGTCTAAAACAGACACTAGGTGATGTTCAGAATTTTTTTCGGGACCCCAACATTGAGCTAAAGGGGCCCCATTTGATAAGATCAAGATGCACTCCTTCAGAGGTTCTCAACCTGTGGGTCTCCATATGTTTTTGCCTTCAACTCTCAGAAATCCTAACAGCTGGGAAATTACTGGGATTTCTGGGAGTTGTAGGCCAAAACCTCTGAGGACCCACAGGTTGAGAACCATGCACTAGTGATGTTCAGAATTTTTTTTTCCGGGACCCCAACATTGAACTAAAGGGGAGCCATTTGGGGTCAGGATCCATAATTACAGAAGAAGCCCTGCTCTAGAGCAGTGGTGTCCAACCTTTGGTCCTCCAGGTGTTTGGGACTCCAGCTCCCAGAAGCCCTGGCCAGCTTGTCCAATGCTCAGGAATTCTAGGAGATGAAATCCAGAATATAGAGGACCAAAGGTTGGGCACCACTGCTCTAGAGTTGTGGAGGACAACTTACGGATGTACTTAGGAGTCATTTTGAGTGATTAAGTGTAAGGAGAAAGTAGGACAATAAGATCAGAAGAGTTTGTTGGGCGAGTGGGCTTATTAACATCTATGTCATCTCTTCCTTAAAACCTTTTTCTTTATAGTAAAATAATAATGGTTGCACGATTTACAAGAATAAGGTTTCCATAACACCAATAAAGTTCAACATTCACACTGGAGCTTCACACACAAGGCCTTCTCATAATGAGGTCTACCTCACACTATGAGGCCTTTCTCCCACAGTGAGGCCTACTACTTTGTTGTTGTTGTTCATTTGTTCAGTCACTTCTGACTCTTCGTTACCTCATGAACCAGCCCATGCCGGAGCTCCTTGTCAGCCATCACCACCCCCAGCTCCTTCAAGGTCAATCCAGTCACTTCAAGGATGCCTGCCATCTATCTTGCTCTTGGTCGGCCCCTCTTCCTTTTTCCTTCCATTTTCCCCAGCATAATTGTCTTCTCTAAGCTTTCCTGTCTTTTCATTATGTGGCCTATTCTCCCACTGAGAATATTCTCCCACTGAGGCCTCTCACACAGAGAGGCTTCTCTCACACTGAGAGCTCTCTCAGACTGAGGCGTTACTAAGCAACAGGCACACCTTCTTATATGGAAGTACAGCTTTTGCTGAGTCACTGCATCCTTGCAACCCTTTCAGTGCCCGACTCACATTTTTGTAATTAAACATACCTAGTTAATGTTTAATATTTCTGACAGAGTTTATCTAAGGGAAGGCATTAATAAATGAATATGGTGTTAGGTTCTTGTGGGTTTTTTCGGGCTATAGGGCCATGTTCTAGAGGCATTTCTCCTGACGTTTCGCCTGCATCTATGGCAAGCATCCTCAGAGGTAGTGAGGTCTGTTGGAAATAGGACAATGGGTTTATATATCTGTGGAATGGCTGGGGTGGGGCAAAGAGCTCTTGTCTGCTGGAGCTAGGTGTGAATGTTTCAACTGACCACCTTCATTAGCATTTGAAGGCCTGCCTGAGCCTGGGAAAATCTTTTGTTGAGAGGTGTTAAGATGTGCCTGGTTGTTTCCTCTCTGTTGTTTTGCTGTTGTAATTTTAGAGTTTTTTAATACTGGTAGCCAGATTTTGTTCATTTTCATGGTCTCTCCTTTTCTGTTGAAATTGTCCACATGCTTGTGGATTTCAATGGCTTCTCTGTGTAGTCTGACATGGTGGTTGTTGGTGTGGTCCAGCACACCAACAACCTCAGGAGAAATGCCTCTAGAACAAGGCCCTATAGCCCGAAAAAACTCACAAGAACCTAGTGATTACAGCCATGAAAGCCTTCGACAATACATTGAATATGGTGTTGTTTTTGGTCTAAGCTTATTGGCAGACAGAATGGGGTTGGACCAGGCATGGGCAAACTTCAGCCCTTCGGGTGTTTTGGACTGTTAGGAATCGTAAGAGTTGAAGTCCAAAACACCTGAAGGACCAAAGTTTGCCCATCTCTAGGTTGGACTGTGTAGTCCTGGTGATGATAATAGTAGGATCCTATGATTGTATGAGTTTGGGACAGATGACAACATGTGGGGATGTGAGTACCTCTGTGTTTTCTAGATGGGAAATCCAGAGCTGTCCCTTCCTCCTCCTCCCCATGCAGGTTGGTTACCAGATCCGCTTTGAGAGCACACGCTCATCTGCCACACGGATTGTTTTCCTGACAGAAGGCCTGCTCCTGCGCCAGGCCCAGCGAGAGCCCACATTGCCTGGCTACCGTGTGCTGATTGCCGATGAGGTCCATGAGCGCCACCTCCATTGTGACTTCCTCCTGGGTGTCCTCCGCCGCCTGCTGCCCGGCCGCCCTGACCTCAAGTTGGTGCTCATGTCGGCCACCATTAATATCCGGCTCTTTGCTGACTACTTTGGTGGCGCTCCAGTGGTACAGGTCCCAGGACGGCTCTTCCCCATCACGGTGAGGCGGATCAGTGGGATCAGATCCTTGAGCATGGCATAAGTTTGTGATGCAAGTACCTTTAGGGCTGGAGAACAAGTACGCATTGTGAGTGTATGACTCAGTTTCCCTTCTACAGAGTAGGAATTTTGTTCTTTATTGAATCTTCTGAAGCTGTTTTCATTCTGTGACCTTTTCAGAAAATTTGGGGAGTGGTGTGGTTAAATTTTTTATTAAATACTAGCCACCCTCTGCCATGTGTTGCTGTGGCCCAGTCTGTGTATATGTGCTTTGTGTGTGTATATGTGTGTATGTATTTGTGTATATGTGTATATATGTGTGTTTGCATATCTATATAAATAAAAATGTAATGTTCATTTGTGGGATTAACAGAACTCAAAATCACTGGATGAATTGACACCAAATTTGGACACAAGACACCTAACAACCCAATGTATGTACTTCACTCAAAAAATTGATTTTGTCATTTGGGAGTTGTAGTTGCTGGGATTTATAGTTCACTTACAATCAAAGAGCATTCTGAACCTCACCAACAATGGAATTGAACCAAACTTGGCACACAGTTCTCCCATGACCAACAGAAAATACTGGAAGGGTTTGGTGGGCAGTGTCCTCTGGTTTGGGAGTTGTAGTTCACCTACTTCCAGAGAGCACTGTGGACTCAAACAATGGTGGATAATAAACCTTTATTTATACCCCGCTACCATCTCCCGAAGGACTTACAAGAGGCCGAGCCCAAATACATCAGTAAACAACAATAACAACAATACAACAATAAATGAACTCAAAAACAAAGCAATAAAAACAAAGCAATAAACATTAACAAAACACCACGATGCGTTAAAACCTATGGCATGGCACAAATACTCAATATGCCAAAATGTGAACACTGGTGGAGTTTGGGGAAAATAGAATCTTGACATTTGGAAGTTGTAGTTGCTGGGATTTGTAGTTCACCTACAATCACAGAGCATTCTGAACCCCACCAACGATAGAATTGGGCCAAACCTCCCACACAGAACTCCCATGACCACCAGAGTGGGTCACAGCAAGGCGTGGCAGGGGACGGCTAATATATATACATATACATACACACACACACACACACACACACACACATATGTGTGTGTGTGTGTATATATATATATATATATATACCGTATAAGCCATCCCGAATATAAGCTGAGGCACCTAATTTTACCCCTCCAAAATTGGGAAAATGTTTTGACTCAAGTATAAGCCAAGGCTGGGAAATGGAGTAGTTACTAGTCAATTTTGAAATGAAAATAGATACCAATAAAATTACATTAATTGAGGCATCGGTAGGTTTAATGTTTTTGAATATTTACATAAAACTGTAATTTAAGATAAGACAGTGGGACTCTGATTAAACCATATTCTCACCTTCTCCAATGTAAATGTGCTTGCATGTCCTTCCAATAAAAAATAAAGAGAATAAGATAACTGTAATAATAATAATAATAGAGTAAAATAATAGAAATGTAATAATAAGAGTTATAATAGAATAAAATAATAAATGTAATAACAATAATAAAGTAAAATAATAAATGTAATAATACTAATAAAGTAAAATTATAAAGGTAATAATAATAATAATAATAACAACAGAGTAAAATAATAAATAACCTTGACTCAAGTATAAACTGAGGGGGACTTTTTCAGCTTAAAAAAAGAGCTGAAAAACTAAGCTTATACTCGAGTATATACAGTATATGGTTTTGCACATACGTTGTAATGTATTTTTTAATTTTTGGCTTTTTAAGTCTCTTCCACTGTGTTTTTCAGTGTTTTTATGAGCGATTGTCACTTATTGGCCTGATAGGTGTATTGTGTCCAAATTTGGTATCAATTCGTCCACAAAGGCTCTCAGTGGGGCTTACAAATTGTTAATTAGGCAGTTCAAATCGACAGAGACTTACATTCTAAACAAGTAAAAGGGAACTGAAGTCGAGCAGGGATTCATGCTAGCAAATACTCCTAGTTCTTCTTTTGCTTCAAGACCAGAGCAGTGGCAGTTGAGATGAATTGAGGGCCTTTCGTGTACTTCTGAGCCTTGGAGCTTTGCCTGTCTCTTCTTCTCTCCCTCTGAGGCTGGATCTGCCTTGCTACACAATGTAGTTCAAAGTACATTATATGTTAAGTTTAGACCCATATGATGCAGTTCAATGCAGTTCAGATGGCATTATATAAGTCTACAGCAGTGGTTCCCAGCTTGTGGTTTGTGGACCACCAGTGGTCCGCAAGAACTAAAATATGGTCTGCGGACTCACTGTTATTACACCATTGCAACGAGAGTAAATGGTCTGTCAAAACCCTCTTATAGTGCCGAGGCTTATTAAATATGGTTTTCTATGGGTAAACAGATGGTGACTACTGGATGCATATGTTCTGTATCAGAAACTAGAGCTGATGTGGTCTATCCAGTGCAGTTTTCTGAATCGGCACCCCAAATAACCAGACTGAATCTGTAGTTGGCCAAAAACTGATTCGTAACCCTTTTGGTACTAATGTTGGAGAGTGGTCCCTGGTCAAGTGGTTCCTAGTCAAGAAAAGGTTGGAAACCACTGGTCTACAGTGACCATATAATGCAGTTCAAATTGCCTTGTATTGCAGTGTAGATCCAGCCGGAGACCAAGGCAGTGGCAGTTGGGATGGAGAAAGAGCATTTCATCTACAGTTGTTTTGGTTATTATTACTGTGTGCCTTCAAATCATTTCCAACTGCTTGAAGCCCTATCATTGGGTTTCCTTGGGCAGATATCTTCAGTATGGGTTTGCCTTCTTCTGAGGCTGAGAGAGTAATTTTCCAAAGGTTACTCGACATCTTTTCATGACCAAATGAGGATTTCAACCCTGGTTTCTAACCCAGCGTGCAAACCACTGCACGATGCTTACTCTCTTGGGGAATTCAAGCAGTCTGAATGATAAGGATATTTTTGTTTTTATTTACTTACTAGCTTGTACCTGCCACGCATTGTTGTGGCCAACATTCCCTCCCTCTTTCTCTCCTTCTCCTTCCCTTTTTTCTTTCCTTCTCTCCTTCCTTCCTTCTCTACCTTTCCTTCCTTCCCCTTTTTTCTTTATCTCTTTTTTCTCTCATTCCTTCCTTCCTTTTTTGCTTCCATCCTTTCTTCTCTCTTTCCTTCCCTTTCTTTCTCTCTCCTTCCTTCCCTCCTTCCTTTGCTCCCTCTTTCCTTCCTTCCTTTCCTTTTTCTTTCCTTCTCTCCTCTTTCCTTCCTTCCTACGCTCTTTGTTTCCATGCTTCCTTCTCTCCTCCCTCCCTCCCTTCCATTTTTTTTCTCTATGTCATTTATATTTCCACTGTTTTTTTTGGGGGGGGTGGTGGTGGTGGTGGTTATGATGGCCGCTCATTGGTCTGTTAGGAGGTGTTGTGTCCAAATTTTGTGTCAATTCGTCCAGTGGTTTTTGAGTTCTGTTAATCCCACAAACGAATATTACATTTTTATTTATATACTAGCTGCCCCCTGCCACGCATTGCTGTGGCCCAGTCTGTGTATATGTCTTTTGTGTGTATATATATGTGTGTATATGTGTGTATATATTTGTGTGTTTGTGTATATATGTGTGCTTGCGTATATATATGTGGTTTTGTGCATGTGTTGTAATGTTTTTTTTTTGCTTTTTCAGCCTGTTCTGCTGTGTTTTTCAGTGTTTTATGAGTAATGGTCACTCGTTGGCCTGATAGGTGTATTGTGTCCAAATTTGGTGTCAATTCGTCCAGTGGTTTTTGAGTTATGTTAATCCCACAAACAAACATTATATTTTTATTTATATAGATAGGATTGGGATGGGTGCAGACCATGGCAAGAGGTCATTGCTTATGTGTGTGTGGCACAGATTTTAGGGTCTAACTGAGGGGCTGTCTTTTTTTGTCTTTTGCCCCACTCTCCATTTTTTTCAGGCTTTCAGCAGCAGCTCTCTTATGAACACACATCAATTTCACTTTGACAGTTTTTATAGAAATCCCAAGATCTTAAATTTGAAAATAAAAAGCTTAATGGACTTCTGTATGAGTCCATTAAACTGAGAAATACAGATGTTAATTAAAAAAAACTTAGATTCACATTAGGAATGATTGCCCAAGGCCACTGGATGACATTCTCCCCAAATATTATTTTAATAGCCAATAATGTTGAAATTAGATGGTTAGGATTCTCTTTAGTGATCGGCCCCAGAGAACAAGTGACAAATTCTTCCACAAAATAGAACTGATGAGAAAAAAATGGAGACTGGTGAAAGGGGAAAATACATCCCCAGATGAGGTTTGGAAGACATTTTAGCTGTCTCTAAAAGACTCAAAATGATTTGGTTTTCTTATCTGAGCGGATTCTTTCACTTCAAATGGGAATATTGTTCGTTTTGGATAAAATGTTAGTAGAGGCGCATTGATCTTCATCCTGGAAAGAAGTGACGACTGGAGTGCCATAAGTAGAGTTCCAGCCTGGTTCTGTTCAACATCTTTATTAATGACTTAGATGAAGGGTGAGAAGGCATGATCATCAAGTTTGCAGATGGGACCAAATTTATTTATTTATTTATTTATGATATTTCTACCCCGCCTTTCTCAAACCCGAAGGTGACTTAAGGCGGCAAATTGGGAAGGAAAGCCAATACTCATGAAGACAGGAGCAGAATTCAAAATGATCTTAGCAGATTAGAGAGATGAATGGCCAAAACTAACAAAATGAAGTTCAACAGGGACAAATGCAAGATACTCCACTCAGGCAGAAAAAATCAAATGCAAAGATACAGAATGGGGGATGATGCCTGGCTCGAGAGCAGGATGCGTGAAAAAGATCTTGGAGTCCTCGTGGACAGGAAGGTGAACATGAGCCATCGATGTGATGCGGCAGCTTAAAAATCCAATGGGATTTCCATCTGCATTAATAAGAGTATAGTATCTAGATCCAGAGAAGTCATGCTACCCCTCTATTCTATTCTTCCTGTCAATGCAGTAATAAAACTTGGATGGATCGCAGCCATAAAGTAATTAGCTTTATTTACATTATTTACATCAAGAACATCGCAGCACAGATCAAGTGTGTCTGCTTCGGCAGAAAAATCACGATTACAGCCTTCTCCTTCTTCAGTAAAGACACACCTCTCAAATAGTTTCTTGATGACCAAAGTCCGGTATTTCAGAGGAAGTAGAAAGTCATTTCACATCTTGTCCTGCTAGGACAAACTCAAATCTCTGTGGTCTGTTATCTCTACACATGCTAGGCAGCTTTTACAAACACATGATTACAGTTTTAAAAATGTACACTTTGAAATCTCCCAATAAATCAAAACACAGCAATAACACTTCCTTGGTCAGACCACACTAGGAATCACACTGTGTCCAATTCTGGGCATCACAATTGAAGGGAGATGTTGACAAGTTGGAATGTGTCCAAAGGAGGGTGACTAAAATGATAAACTGCCTGGAGAACAAGCCCTGTGAGGAGCGGCTTAAAGAGCTGGGCCTGTTTAGCCTGCAGAAGAGAATGCTGAGAGGAGACATAATGTGGGCCATGTATAAGTATGTGAGGGGAAGTCATAGGGAGGAGGGAGCAAGCTTGTTTTCTCCTGCCCTGGAGACTAGGATGTGGAGCAATGGCTTTAAATTGCAGGAATGGAGATTCCACCTGATAATAGGAAGAACTTCATAGCTGTGAGAGCTGTTCAGCAGTTGAACTCTCTGCCCAGGAGTGTGGTGGAGGCTCCATCTTTGGAGGCTTTTAAGTGGAGGTTGGATGGCCATCTGTCCATGGTGCTTTGAATGAGATTTCCCTGCTTCTTGGCAGGGGGTTGGACTGGATGGCCCTGGGGTCTCTTCCAACTCTATGATTCCATGAACTTTCTTGTTGTAGGAGCCTGTCAATATACTTTTCATATTATTTCTTCTTTTGGTAACAGTTATTTTTATTAAAGAAGCAATGCCAAAGAATGCACCTACTTTGTATAACAGGTTGAGTATCCCTTATCTGAAATGCTTGGAGCAAGATATGTTTAGGTTTGGGGAGTTTCTGGATGACATTATTTTTATATTCATACAAATTGTGTTCTTGGAGATAGGATCCAAGTATAAATGTGAAACTCATGCATGTTTCATGTAAACCTACATTATACACTCAGCCTGCAGGTCATTTTATACATAATATTTTAATAACGTTGGGCATGAAACCAAACTTGTATGTATTGAACTATCAGAAAGCAAAGGTGTCACTATCTCAGCCACTCAAATAGGAAATTTTGGCTTGTGGGATATTTTTGCTAAGGGTTCTTAACCAGTACTTGTAAAAAAGACAGAAACATAGCTTAAAGAAATGGTTTTCTTTCTCTAGTGTTGGCAGCTGGAACCTCCATTTTAAAAAGAAATAATCTAAGTTAAGTATAGGCCTAACTGTATAGCATACCTCTTGTTCTACTTTCCTGGTGCAGGTTTTATACGAACCTATCCGTCCAGAGGAAAGTGCCAGTGGACGTAAAGAGCGGCTGGACCCTCGGCCTTACCTGCGTGTCCTCCAAGCCATTGATCACAAATACCCTCCCGAGGAAAGAGGGGATTTGCTCATCTTCCTTAGCGGTGTGGCTGAGATTGGGGCCGTGATGGAGGCTGCGCAGACTTACGCCACTCACACTCAGCGCTGGGTGGTCCTTCCTCTTCACAGCACCCTCTCAGTGGCTGAGCAAGACAAGGTGGGTCCATGGCCTGAGTGGCCAGGCTTGGGGTCCTTTTAGTCTAACCAATTTACAGCACTATGATTCACTTTATTTACTTATTTACTGTATTTGTATACCGCCTTTCTCAGTCTTTTGGCGACTCAAGGCGGTTTATAGGCAACAAGTAATATACATAATATCAAAATGCACATAAAACATTAAATACAATATAAAACCACAACAGAAATAATAAGCAACAGCCAGGAGACAGGTGTTTTTGAAGTCTCTTCCTCAGTCCCCTTTCTCCTCTTAGCTAGCCTGAGGGCGGGCGGGCGGGCGCGGAGAAGCAGCAGGATTTCCTCCTTCTCCTCCTGAGGTGGCAGGCAGATGTAGTATTGTTGCTGGGGGCGGGATGGCCAACTGTCAGGGGTGCTTTGAATGAGATTTTCCTGCTTGTTGGCAAGGGGTTGGACTGAATGGCCCACAAGATCTTTCCAACTCTGATTCTTTGGCATTTTTCTCTTTCTTTTGATATGGGGTGAGAGATAAATATTGTAATAACTTTTTCTGGCAGGTGTTTGACTTGCCCCCCCCAGGAGTCCGTAAATGCATCGTCTCCACCAACATTGCTGAAACCTCTGTGACCATCGATGGTGTCCGGTTTGTTGTAGACTCAGGTGAGAGCAAGTCATCATAAGCTTTGTCTGTCTTTTGTCCCAGCCTTCATATGGTTCTGGCAGGTTAGGGGAACATGAATAGGTCAGCAAATTTCCTGCCTGTTTGCAACGTGAGCTGAGCTGGCTACCATCCCCCTTAGTTATGCAACTTTAAATACTTACCCTTTTAAAAAATCTATGTATAATTATACATAACTGCAAGTTAAAATTTACACTTCACCACAGACTGGATGGCCTTGAGTATTTTCTGTTGGTCATGGGGGTTCTGTGCGGGAATTTTGCCCCAGTTCTGTTGGTGGGATTCAGAATGCTCTTTGATTGTAGGTGAACTATAAATCCCAGGAACTACAACTCCGAAATGTCAAGGTCTAGTTCCCCCAAACTCCATATGTGTTCATATTTGGGCATATGGTATATTTGTGCCAAGTTTGGTCCAGATCCATCATTGTTTGAATCCACAGTGCTGTCTGGATGTAGGTGAACTACAACTGCCAAACTCAAGGTCAATGCCCACCAAACTCTTCTAGTGTTTTCTGTTGGTCATGGGAATCCTGTGTGCCACGTTTGGTTCAATTCCATCCTTGGTGGAGTTCAGAATGCTCTTTGATTGTAGGTGAATTATAAATCCCAGGAACTGCAACTCCCAAATGACAAATCATTTTTTTGAGTGAAGGACATACATTGTTAGGTGTCTTGTGTCCAAATTTGGTGTCAATTCATCCAGTGGTTTTTGAGTTATGTTAATCCCACAAACAAACATTACATTTTAATGTACATAGATTAAATAACATCACAGGCCCCAATGTGTCTTGCAGGTAAGCCCTTCCACTGTTTCCTTCTTACATCTGATGTGTCCCTCTCTCTTGTAGGGAAGGTGAAGGAGCTCAGCTATGACCCCAAAGCCAAGCTGCAGCGGTTACAGGAATTCTGGATCAGCTGCGCCAGTGCGGAGCAGCGCAAGGGCCGTGCGGGTCGGACAGGGCCTGGGGTCTGTTACCGGCTCTATGCCGAGTCAGATTATGATGCCTTCGCCCCTTACCCTGTGCCCGAGATCCAGCGAGTGGCACTAGATGCCTTGGTTCTTCAGGTAGGCAGAAAACATTGTGTGAAAAATGCTTCTGCTTCCCTCTGCATTCACTCACCACTGAGCAGACAGACCCCAACATAACCAGCTATAAGACTTTTCTCATAGTGGGGTGCGGACACGTCTCAGAGGGTGGGTTCTTCCCTTGTCTTGGCTGCTGATTTGTTTGTGTGGATGCCACCAAAATGGGGCATGTGTTTCCCTATCGTATCTATTTGTGCTTCGGTAAGGACAAGGGAGCCCTGGAAATGCCTTTCGTGATGCAATCTGTATTTTGGATACTGTGGAGGACGATGGCAGGCAAACACTTTGAAACTTTTCAGACCTGTGCAAATGGTTGCAGAGGTTGGGCACAACAGGGCAGAAGAAGGACCTCATCTAGTTTGCTAGCCTTGCACCAGAATGTGTGTGCTTATAGCAGAAGGTGGATAAAATAAACCCTGTCTGTCTGTCTGTCTGTCTGTCTATCTATCTATCTTCTAGCACTCTACTAGCACATATCTAGTATTTATGCATTTCTTCAAGTATAGAATCCAAAGTAGGTAATGACATAATGGAAAAGACTGCTAGAAAAAGAAAATATTAGGAACTACAACAGACTGTCTTCATGATGGATCAATTGAAATAATATTCCCAGAACATGGTGAGTGTGAGGGAGGAGGTAAAACTGATTGATATAAGTAGTAGATATGCATGGAAATGGAAAGGTCAAGAGAATAGGATGTAATAGAACAAAAGGAGAATTCAATGGAAAATCGTTGTCTGTTTATTTCTTCTGACAGTGATGTGATTGTAAATTGAGATATCCTACATGCATTGTCAATGAAAATAATAATAATAATAATAATAATAATAATAATAATAATAGTTTGTTGTTGTTATTGTTGAAGGCTTTCATGGCTGGAATCACTGGGTTGCAGTGAGTTTCCTGGGCTGTATGACCATGTTTCAGAAGCATTATCTCCTGACATTTCACCCACATTTATGGGCAAAACATTGGGAAGTGTTAGCTGGCACATCTATGGGTGAAATGTTGAAAAAACCGTAAAATCAGGACAGTAAATAAAGAGCAACACTCAAAAACAGGGGAATTCCAGTCAAGAATCAACCAGAGCCAGTTAATACCCCCAACAAAGGATCCACCCAGGCAGGAAGCAGTCAGGCTTTGAAGCTACAAGGCCATTCAATGCTAATCAAGGTGGCCAACTGCAACATTCACACTTGCCTCAAGCAGACAAGAGTTCTTTCTCCCACCCTGGGCATTCCATAGATATATAAACCTCACTTGCCTAGTTTCCAACAGACCTCACCACCTCTGAGGATGCCTGCCATAGATGTGGGTGAAACATAAGAAGAGAATGCTCCTGGAACATGGCCATTCAGCCCGGAAAACTCACAGCAACCCAATAATAATAAAAATTATAGAAATTTATTTATATCCTGCCCTATCTCCCTGATAAAATAAAAAGCACCCAAACAAACAAACAAGATAGCTAAAGTAATACATAGTGCCTGACTTGAAAAGCCTTTCAAAAGCAATCCAGCTAAAACATTAGACTAATACAGTTAAAAAAACATTCAAATCACTGTAAAAGATACAGTACTCCTTATTAAAAATATTATAAGCTGCAGTCCTCTTTACATAGAAAGGTTTTTGTCTGCTAATGAAAAGAGAAGGGGGCCAATCGGGTCTCCCTTCGAAGAGAACTCCATTACCTAGGAGTCACCACCAAGAAGGCTCTGTCTTGTCCCCACCAGATGAGCTGGAGCCCCCGTGGTGCAATGGGTTAAATCCTTGTGTCGGCAGAACTGCTGACCGAAAGGTCGGCGGTTCAGACCTGGGGAGCGGGGTGAACTCCCATCCGTCAGCTCAAGCTTCTCATGCAGGGATATGAGAGAAGCCTCTCACAAGGATGGTAATACATCAAACATCTGGGCGTCCCCTGGGCAATGTCCTCGCAGACGGCCAATTCTCTCACACCAGAGTGACTTGTAGTTTCTCAAGTGGCTCCTGACATGAAAGAAAAACAACAACAGATGAACCAAAGAGGAAGTTCTTTTCCCAAGATTATAAGACCCAGGTAAGCTCCTATGGGGAGATACAGTTCTGATAGTCTGGATCTGACTATCCCTCTCCTTTGTGCCTAGATGAAGAGCATGGGTCTGGGTGACCCCCGGGCTTTCCCTTTCCTGGAGCCGCCCCCACCGGCCAGCTTGGAGACAGCTGTGGGCTATCTGAAGCACCAAGGTGCCCTGGATGCAGAGGAGAGCCTCACACCCATCGGGAGTCTCCTGTCTGAGTTGCCAGTTGACGTTGTGATTGGTGAGCCCTTGTTTCTTGGGATGGCAGCTGGGCCATCCCAGACCTCATTAGTTTTTCTGATTTTTGTGTATGTAGGGGTGCAGTTTGGCCTTTCACAAGAGCTTGAGTGGTGAACCTTTGTGTCACTGCAGATAAATTTGTTGCTGACATGTCTCAGAAGGGCAGGCTGTGTTCTGTGCTTAGAATCATAGAATGAACCCAATGCCAGAGCTTTAGCTAGAGCTTCTCTGGTAGGCAGATGCTGAGCCTCTTTTTGAAGATGTCTTGAGAAAGAGACCTTGGCCCATGTCTGGTCCATTGTTTCCATTGCCAAACAGCTTCTACAGCTTCCTAATGTTCGGTTGAAATCTATCTTCTTGTAACTTCAAGCAGTTGGACTTGGTAAACAGACAACAAACCTGCATTTTATGGCAAATGTACTAAAATCTTGTGTGCATCAGGCTAGGCCCTTAAATGTTGCTGAGGGTGAGCAGGACGGAGCTTGTCCTTGTGATCCCTCCATCCTCTGGTGTTGTTGTCCTTTTGCAGGGAAGATGTTGGTGCTGGGGACCCTCTTTGGCTTGGCGGCACCCACCCTGACAGCTGCCGCGGTGCTCAGCGTGCCCTCCCCTTTCCTGCGTAGTAGCAGTGGACGGAGTGACCCCGACTGTGCCACCGCCCGGCGTCCCCTGGAGAGCCCCTTGGGAGACCCCTTGACTCTGCTCAATGTCTTCGACGCCTGGGTGCAGGTGAGTGGGTATGGCCTGGAGATTTGTGTCAGGCCCAGGAAGCAGCACAGATCTTTGCCCCACGATTGGGAAGCCCCATCAGGGTGTGTAATGTTCCCAGTTTTAGTTTTGGGAGCCCCCGGTGCCGCAGTGGGTTAAAGTATGAGCTGCTGAGTTTGTTGACCGAAAGGTCGCAGGTTCGAATCCGGGGAGCGGTGTGAGCTTTTGCTGTCAGCCCCAGCTTCTGCCAACCTAGCAGTACGAAAACATGCAAATGTGAGTATTTATTTATTTCTTGCACTTATAGACCGCCACTCTCAGCCCCTAAGGGCCTCTCTGTACCTCTCTGGCGGGAAGGTAACGGCGCTCCATGCAGTCATGCTGGCCACATTACTTTGGAGGTGTCTATGGACAACGCTGGCACTTCAGCTTAGAAATTGAGATGTGCACCACACCCCAGAGTCGAACACAACTGGATTTAATGTCAGGGGAAAACCTCAACCAAAATCTTTTACTCCACAATGTTCTATCTCTAAGGACCAGTCTTCAGGCTCTGTTTCCATGTGGGAGGGAACGGAGTAAGACATTCCCTTTGCTTTTCCCCTGCCCCCCTCCCACACACACTGTCTGATTTATTTATTTATTCCATATCAAAAGCATTGCATAAATTAGTATAAAAACTGATAAAATAGAAGGGGCACAAGCAGATAAATATCTTTTGACCAAAATGAGCAACAGCAATGGCATTGTCTGTAGCTTCAAATAATTCTTCCTCTGTACATGAGGCAGGACATTGTGGACAAGCATACCGATGCAGAGTTGTCTGTTCTGCTCCACAGTCACACAAGGTGTGGGATTCTTTTAGGTAGTGCCATTTTGCCAGGTTGCCTTTTGATCTGCCCACTCCACTTCTGAGTCTGTTCAGGGACTTCCAAGTTGCCCATTCTTGGTTTGCCTCTGGAGGAAGACCCTCATAGGGGGCCCACCCAATTGGGATTTCCTGGTTTAGCTTCCCAGGGGGATGTTCTTGCAATTGCTGTGAGAATGTTAAGAGGAGCGGTGGTTCTCATGAAACTTTTCCTTGATTTGAGTCTACTAAGATGAGGCTGATAGCCATGCAGTGCATGGCTTTCACAGTATTCAACCCTAATTCTCTCACAGTTACCAGCAATTTCCTGTCGCACATCGGGGGTGGGAGGGCAATGCCTGCTAGCTTGTGGAGTTTATCAACAGGTCTAGGTTTAAGATATCCTGTGATTATTCTGCATGTTTCGTTCAATGCTGTGTTCACCTACTTCACATAGGCAGACGTGTGCCAAACAGGGCAGGCATACTCAGCAATTGAGTAAGACAAGGCCAGGGCTGATGTTCTTATTAATTTTGGGTCTGCACCCCATGCACTGCCAGTAAGTTTCCGCAGGATGTTATTGTGTGCAGCTACTTTGTGTTTGATGTCGGTTTATGTGAGTTTTTGTACATGCCTATGCTGATGGCTTTGTTTGGCTTTCTTTTCCGTCAGGAGAAATCAGGCAATCGGGGTGGATCCCGTCGCTGGTGCCGTCGTCGAGGCCTGGAGGAACACCGTCTATACGAAGCAGCAAATCTTCGGCGCCAGTTCCAAGTGCGTTTGAAGATGGGGGTGGTGCTGGGGCAGTGAGGTGGTTGGGGTCTGCCAGGTTGGATGTGGCAATTGCATCAGGGATGAGCTTCCTGTTAATGGTGAACCAGGCTAAAATGTGTGGCAGTGGTAATACCTGTGGGAGGATACTAGACCCCATTAGCAAAGGGGCTGGAATGTCTCTTGACTGTACACCATCTGCTGCATTTATTTATTTACAGTATTTTTATTCTGCCTGTTGTGGCTCACTTTGAGCCTGAGCTTTCTGAGCCTGAGTTTCCTCAGGACGAGGAGGATGATGGGTTACAGATTTCTGAACCTGTTCTTGTTATTGAGGCAGACAGTGTTGATTCTGAAGAAGAGACGACATTTCTGTTCCCCAGGGAAAGGAATGTTGTTTTAGATAAAGATAGTGAAACTTCAGAGCTCCAGGTGGAAGACTCAGCCCCATCTGGGAGTTCAGGGCCTCTCGGTTCCCAGGGTTACCAGTCTCAGGATAATGAGGGATCCGACCTTGAAGATGCAGATTTGATTCGGGAGGACTGTTTGCAATTAAGGGTTCGCCGAAGTGCGCACCTTGCCAACAAATGTGAAATTCGAGGTCAACGTCGTGCTTTCATGTTGGGGAAGCACATTTAACGATCTGATTGAAGTCTGTCTGTTGTCAGTGCAATGTTGCTTATACCCTGTTAACGTCTCTGAAAATACCTCGGCTTTTGGGGAAAACTTCTAGCTCTTTGGGACTTTGGTTTTGCTCTTGATTTTTTGGGGACTTTGACATTCTGCCATGGATTCTTGTTTAACCTATGCTAAAGGAATATGCTTCATGTTATTTGCCTCTGGATCTTGGGAACTTTGCCTTTGCATTTAAGACTCTGTTTGGGCTATTGAACCTTTGCAACTTTACTTCTATGTTTTTGATTTTGCTTTTTCTTCAATAAACTACAAAACCTACAGCCTTGAGCCAGATGAATCTATCCTGAGTTGCGACACTGCCCTTCTCACCCCAAAGGGGAATCAGGGTAGATCACAGAACACTTATATAAAATGTCGGTTATACAATGACAAAACTGAAAATAGGCTTTCCCATTTTTGGCATCTTTAGAGGCTGTGCTTGGTTCCAGCCATGGGGGCAGTGGGGGGTGTCACTCCATCTCCTTGCCGAAGAGCATTTTTCTTTGTTTCTAAAATCCTCCTTTTTCTGATTGAAACACCACCGTGCCTAAAATACCTCCCTGTTTTAATGCAGTTCCTATTTATCTACTTACATATTTGTTTTCAAACTGTTAGGTTTCCAACCTAGCCGTTCGAAAACATGCAAATGTGAGTAAATGAATAGGTACTGCTCCGGTGGGAAGGTAACGGCGCTCCATGCAGTCATGCTGGCCACATGACCTTGGAGGTGTCTACAGACAACTCCAGCTCTTTGGCTTAGAAATGGAGGTGAGGATCAACTCCTTGAGTCGGACACGACTGGACTTAATGTCTGGGAAAACCTTTACCTTTACCTTTAAATTCTCTGTGTTATTTTTATATGTAAGTTATATTAATTGTACTGTTTTATTTGCTTGCTGTTTGTTTTTACTGGTGTGTTGTTGGGCTTGGCCTCATGTAAGCCGCCCTGAGTTCCCTTGGGAAGATGGTGGCGGGGTATAAATAAAGTATTATTATTATTATTATTATTATTATTGTCGAAGGCTTTCATGGCCGGAATCACTGGGTTGTTGTAGGTTTTTTCGGGCTATATGGCCATGGTCTAGAGGCATTCTCTCCTGACGTTTCGCCTGCATCTATGGCAAGCATCCTCATAGGTAGTGAGGATGCTTGCCATAGATGCAGGCGAAAACGTCAGGAGAGAATGCCTCTAGACATGGCCATATAGCCCGAAAAACTACAACAACCCATTATTATTATTATTATTATTATTATTATTTATTATTATTTAGGTTGGTAGAAGCTGGGCTGAAAGGTCAGGCGCTCACCCTGACCTGGGCTTTGAAATAACAACCTTCTGGTTGGCAAGATTTATTGCAGCTTGGTGATTAACCTGCTGTGCTAAAGCCCAGCTCATTTTGAGTCCCACCAGTAAATCTCGTCTCATAGCAATAATGCCTGTCAATGTTTGGCACTGAATGAATTCTTGGGGAAACCTGGAACTAAGCTTAGTTCCAGAAACAGAACGTAGGCTTGTCTGGTGCTTGACTAATACATTCTATTGCTATTCTTTGATTACTCTGCTAGGAACTGCTTCGGGACCATCGGTTGCTGGAACCAGCCAGCCGGCCCAGAGACTCCTACACACGGCAGAGCCGCCACCGCCACCGGCAAGAGCTGCACAAGATCAAGCGGGAACATGAACAGGGAGAAGGACGCCGGCGCAAAGTGCTGCGGCTGCAGGAGGAGGAGGGTGGCTCTTCTTCAGGAGATGAAGGCGATGCCAAACGTGGGCCAGACATCCAGGTAGAAACTCGGGAGAATCTAGGTGTGTGTGGGCTGACAAAATATATAAGCATGAAGTTGGGTTACTCTGAGGTCCATCGTTTTGTCTAATGTCATGTCCCCAAAGTGGCCAGTTGGCAAATGTGGATGCTATCATGGCAAGTCCTATTCCTTTGGGAGTTTTTTGAGAGTGTTAGTGACTCAACTGCAACATGATAGAAGCCTCTATCTCTTAGGAAGGATCAGGATTTCAGAGTCAGAACTTTAGGTTCAAAAGTATTGATTGAAGTAAAAGAAATACATTCTTTTTCTTTTAAAAAAATAATATTTATTATATTATACACACACAAAGAAATACTATAAACACTAAGTTTATAGGAAAGTAGGAAAATATTTAAAGATAAATAGAAATAGGAAAAAGGGAGAAAAAAGAGAAAGAAAAAAATGACGTACTAAAATACATTAAAAATTGAAAAAATAATAATTAAAAAATCCTTTGATTTCCATTCACCTATATTATATAATTACTTGTTTAAACTATTTTTTGTTTATTTGAGTTTTTATCTCACTCTATAAACTTCTTTTTAATCATAGATAATGAAAAAACAGATAAATGTATTAAAAATAAAAGAAACATTAAAAAAACACGCAAAAACACATTTCTAGACATTGTCTCTCTGTCTCTTCTCTTTCACATATTTCTCAAAGGGTGACCAATTAGTCCCTTTTATTCCCGAGCTATTCTTCAAAAAGCACATTAGTTTGTCCATGTCTTTAATTTCTTGTATTTTATTTATTCAATCGTCTATTTCCGGAATTTTGTCTATTTTCCAAAGTTTCGCATATTATATTCTTGCTACAGTTGAGATGTAGGTGAATAAAATATCTTTATTTTGGTCCAAAGTTAGATCTGAGTCAATAATATTTAGTAAGTAATACTCTGGCTTTCTTGGGAATAATATTCCCATTATTTTTTGGGATTCTTCATGTATGATCTTCCAATATTTTTGAGCTTCTTTAGAAGTCCACACATGTGAAAGAAGCTTCCATTGAGGTCATGACATTTCCAACAGTTTTTATTTATATTTTTATACATTAGACCTATTTTTTTGGTTTCTTGATGATTTCAGAAGTGTTCTTTTCAGTTGCCCATAAATATCTAAGTAAAGTAAAGGTAAAGATTTCCCCTTGACATTAAGTCTAGTTGTGTCCGACTGTGGGGGGTGGTGCTCACCACCATTTCTAAGCTGAAGAGCCGGCATTATCAGTAGATGCCTCCAAGGTCATGTGGCCAGCATGACTGCATGGAGTGCTGTTACCTTTCTGCCAGAGCGGTACCTATTGATCTCACATTTGCACATTTTCAAACTGTTAGGTTGGTAGAAGCTGGGGCTAACAGAGGGAGTTCACCCCGCTCCCAGGATTCAAACTGCTGATATCAGTCAGCAAATACAGCAGCTCAGTGGTTTAACTCGCTCCACTACCAGGAGTTCTAAAACATCTACTAACCCTTAAAACATCTTGGTTTAAATCGTGCTCTCAAGAGACCAAAATTAAAGTAGTTTTTAAAATAACATATTTGGTTTTCTCACAAACTTCATGTATTCAGCATACAGCTACACTGCATATCAATCAATTTACAGATAGGATTTGAAGTAGTTTTCCTGTGCAGATAATGTAGGGCATCTTTCTTGTAATCAACAGTCTAAAGCATCTCTCCAGTCTGAGAGTCTAATAGAGTCTCTTCAGTCTTCTGTTTCTACTGACTTGTGAAAGCATACTATTTCTAATATGGAGTCTGAGTCTGAATAGACCCAGATCTGGTCACATGGTCTGCAGCTTCTCCCACAACATAGAGTTAAGGAAAACTGCATACCAATTCACACATATACAATCTGAATTATATACATAACAAATAACTAGTGTAGGCTTGAAGAAAACCCTTCGGTAGCACAGTGAGTTAAAGTGCTGAGCTGCTTAACTTGCTGACCGACAGGTCACAGGTTCGAATCCGGGGAGCGGGGTGAGCTCCCGCTGTTAGCCCCAGCTTCTGCCAACCTAGCAGTTCGAAAACATGCAAATGTGAGTAGATAAATAGGGACAACTCTGGTGGGAAGGTAACAGTGCTCCATGCAGTCATGCTGGCCACATGACCTTGAAGGTGTCTATGGACAATGCTGGCTCTTTGGCTTAGAAATGGAGATGAACACCAACCCCCAGAATCGGACACGACTGGACTTATATCAGGGGAAAACCTTTACCTTTATTTTTAGGCTTGATGAAGGTTGCTATTTCCAACAGCCAGCACACATGCTCTTGCCATCTTCTACCTTTGTAGGATGTGAAGTTCCAGCTGCGGCACAATGTGGATGAGCTGCGGTCGGCAGCTTCCCTTGGCCAAGCCCTTTCACCCGGGCAGCTCTCCCTCTTGCAGCTGGTGCTGGGCCGTGGTCTCTACCCACAGCTGGCAGTCCCCGACCCTTACAACAAAACCCGCAAGGATTCAGACCAGGTGAGTGTTTGCCTTCTAGACATCACTGTTGTATGTCAGCCTGTGATTGTGTCTGATGCTGATGGGAATTATGTTCATACTGGTGTTCATGATGGGAATGTTCCTGATGGGATTGGGGATGAAGGTTTGTTTGGCCCTGAGTTAGGTTTAGAAGAGAGGCCTGCATGTTTCAGGAAGATTCACAAGGCCACATTTCTGGGAGAGACCTTTCACTGCTTATCTGCCATCAGGTTGTTTCCAGCTTAACCTTAAGGTGAACCCATCACCAGGGTTTTTAGAGGCTGAGCAGATGTGATTTGCCAAGGTCAACCACTGGGTTTTCATGACTGAATGGTACGAGGGTTGATTGAAAAGTAATGCCTCCACCTTAGTAACTCCTCAACATTTGGCAGTACTGATATGCGGCAGGTACTGGCTTATTCAGTAGACTCTCCTCTACAGTTTCATTTTGGTGGGAAGCCTTAGCATTGAACAGTTGTGTTGTTAAAGTGTGAAATATGGAACCCTGCACAGAAGGTCGGTCAATGGGACTTAAGCAACGTGCAGTCATTGAATTCTTGACCGCAGAAGGTGTCACCTCAACATCTTTAAACTTACTCGCCCAACAATGCACAGTACTCACATCAACATAATCACCATAAATAGCTTGCATTCTCTGATGAATCTCCTTTGGGGTGACACCTTCTGCTGTCAAGAATTCAATGAGTGCACGTTGTTTAAGTCGCATTGACTGACTGTCTGTGCAGGGTTCCATACTTTGCACTTTAACAACACAACCATTCAATGCTAAGGCTTCCTGCCAAAATGGAACTGTAGAGGAGAGTCTACTAAACAAGCCAGTACCTGCCGCATACCAGTACTGCCATCTGTTGAGGAGTTATGAAGGTGGAGGCATTACTTTTCATTCAATCCTCATAGATCAAATAATCTGTATGCTACATTCTGATTCCCTGCACTGTTCTTTGTTTCACAGATATTCCACACCAAAGAGAAGGTGGGGGTTGTCCTTCACCCTACCAGTGTCTTCGCCAATTCTCCTGAGTTGCTCCAGGGCTCTCAGGAAAGGGGCTTTGAGCACCAGGCTCATAGAGGTAAGATGAAGGGGCTATCCACTTTTTGATGGAGGACACTAGTGGGATTTCTAGTTTGCCTTGAGATGATCATATTCAGAAATGACTTGAAAGAAATACCAGATTTGAGAGTAATGCTTCTTAAGAAGTCTGTTGACAATCCTTCACTCTCCCAGTTCCAAGGACTGGTACCATATTTAGGCCGACTGTCTACAATCAACAAAAAAGCTCATGTTTTGTATCAGATTTCCTATGAAGAGGTTGAGGTGGTAGTCTTTTGTGACATTATATGTTTTTCTCAAGAGAAGGCGATAAACTTCATTTACCAGCAGAAACTTACATGTGGCGAAACTGGGGTGAGCTTCTCTTCTTAGGATGGCACAAGATTGCAGAGTCAGAACTTTAGGTTCAAAAATATTTATTGAAGTAAAAAAAATACATTCTAGATAGAAAAAGTCTTGGTGCTAACTAGCTTACTAAGTCTCATCTTCTAAGACAGTTAAAAAAGTGAAAAGTACAAAAATTGATGCAGCTACATTTTGCCTAGAGCAGTGTTTCTCAACCTGTGGGTCCCCAGACGTTTTGGCCTTCAACTCCCAGAAATCCTAACAGCTGGTAAACTGGCTGGGATTTCTGGGAGTTGTAGGTCAAAACACCTGGGGACCCACAGGTTGAGAACCACTGGCCTAGAGAGAGAAGCAAAATGTGCATCGTCTCCGGAAGGAAGGAAAGAGGCAGAAGAGACAATGGTGGCGAATGGCCACATGGCCAGGCCAGGGCAATAAAAATGCCTTTAAAAAGTTCCCTCACAGAGATTTCATTGCTACATCTTCAAAGGGGGATGAGACAGTGGCAAGGAGGAGGAGGAAAGACAAAGCCCTTTTAGTAAACATGAATAGGAATGGGGGAGGAATCCCTTAGCCTAATCCTATAATTAATAATAAATAATAATAATAATAATTTTATTATTTTCCACATTTAAATACCGCCTTTCTCAGCCCGAAGGCAACTCAGGGCGGTTCACAATCGGCAACAATTTGATGCCTCCACAAGTATAAAATGCAAGTTAAAAACAGATTATAAATACAATTAAAACATTATTATATACCTAAACAAACATAAAAGGGCCAGCAGAACATTGGGATAATGTTAGATAATAATGTTGGAAAATGTTGGATAATAAGGACAGATTACGGAAAAGCGTATTAAATGTCAAATTATGTTATAATTTTACAAATTAAGCACCAAAACATCATGTTTTACTACAAATTGACAGAAAAAGCAGTTCAATACACAGTAACGTTGTGTAATAATTACTGTATTTACGAATTTAGCACCAAAACATTGCAATGTAATTCTATCTCTTGTCTATCTACTCATTGAAGTCTGGAAACTCGATGACACAAGAGACTTGTGCAGTTCAACAGCCTCCCATACTTTTAGCAAGGATAGGGATGTTGATAGCTGATCCACTGCTATTCTTTCCTGTGAAGAAGGAGGAGGAGAAGGAGGGGATGGAGGGAGGAAAAAAGCAAACAATTAAATTGGAAAGAGTCTGAGAAACTCACTAGCTCTTCTTGTTTCTTAGATGCTGCAAAGGAGGGACTCAGCAGCCGTCACCAAATCCTGGCCTTTGTCTCACTGTTGGAAACCAATAAGCCCTACTTGGTGAATTGCCTCCGGCTACCAGCGTTGCAGGTAATTGGCCAAGGCCTCTGACCCTGGAATGTAATTTTTCAATAACTTTATTTTTGAAGGACTATTATTTCCATCTTTACTCGTGCCTTCCTCCGAGCTGATGTGCCTTAGAAGGGAGACAAAGAGGCCAGATGCCCCATGCTTCCCCTACTTTTCATTTTGCCCTCCAGGCCCTGCTGCTCTTGGCCCGCTCCCTTGACACCAGCGCCGACTGCACGCGCATCGTGGCTGATTCATGGCTGGAGCTGCGGGTCCCTGCGGCAGAAATGGCCCTACGGCTGCTTAGCAAAACCCTGCGGCTCCGTGCCTCCTGGGAGAAAGTCCTGGACCGGCAGCTGGAGAGCAGGGCACATCGAGGCCAAGATGAAGAGGAGGATGAGGAGAGGCGGCCTAGCGCTCGAGAGGTTCACCGGCTCACACAGGAGCTGCTGGCGTTCCTGAAGACAGAGGTGGGTCTGTGCAGGAGAGAGGGCTTGTTGAAGGAAGTTGCTCATGAAGTTGGAGAAGGAGGGGAGATACCATGACTCCATAACAGAGCTCCTTCTTTCCATTCAGAAAACTCAGGCAGTCCCTGCATTGGGATCTGTCCACATGATGTCTTCTCTATCTGGTTAGGTGCAGTACAGCCTTCGGCGCTTGACTCCCCTGGAGCAGCAGAACCTCTATGTGGGGCCTCAGATGGTGGCTGCAGGAGGAGAAGGTCTGTCTCAGCTCTTCCAAGGGGTGGAGATGATCCCGGATGAGGTCAAGGGAGGCTACAGGGTCGGCGACTTCCTCACGTTCAATTGCCTGGCGGTGAGTTATTCCAGGAGGACTGAGGAGCATTATCAACTGTAGCGAAACCAGGAAATCCCAACTGGATGGCCCCCCACGAGGGTCTTCTTCCAGGGGCAAACCAAGAATGGGTAACTTGGAAGTCGCTGAACAGACTCAGAAGCGGAGTGGGCAAATCAAAAGACAACCTGGAAAAATGGCACTACTTAAAATAATTCCTCACCTTGTGTGACTGTGGAGCAGAAGAGACAGCTACGCCTCTGTATGCTTGTCCACTATGCCCTGCCTCATGTACAGAGGAAGAATTGTTGGAGGCTACAGATAATGCTGTTGCTGTTGCCCATTTTTGGTCAAAAGATATTTAGCTGCTCGTGCTCCTTCTATTTTTATCAGTTTTGTACTAATTTATGCAATGCTTTTGATACGAAATAATAATAATAATAATAATAATAATAATAATAAACTGTATGTATGTGTCTTTGTGTCTGCAATCCCTTAACTGTGAGAGACACAAAGACCTTTCTGTCGGCCCTGTTTGGTGGATTGAGTGCTCATCCTGATGGGTTGTCTTGCAGGGCGAAGGGGACCTTTACAGTGAGTGCCTACGCAGTTTCTGGACATGTCCGCGTTGTGGCCTCTACATGCCCTTTACTCCCCTGGAGCGGGTGGCCCATGAAGACACTTGTCAAGTTCCAGAAACCGAGACTAGCCCTGGAGGTGAGACCTTTGTATTTGGAATTCTTTTTGTTGGAATTCAACCCCACACTGCCCAAGTCTCAAGTCCTAAACTAATGGTTTAGTTAGTTTAGTATAGACTAAGGGTTTCCTTTCCCCATGTCTCCTGTATGGCAGTTGGGAATGTATCTTTTTCATCACTGGAACAAAACATCCAGGCGTGCCCTGGGCAACGTCCTTGCAGACGGCAATTCTCTCACACCAGAAGCGACTTGCAGTTTCTCAAGTCACTCCTGACACGACAAAAAAAAAAAAAAAATCACTGGAGCCCCTGGTGGCAAAGTGGGTTAAACCCTTGTGCTGGCAGGATTGAAGACCGACAGGTCACAGATTCAAATCTGGAGAGCGTGCGGATGAGCTCCCTCTGTCAGCTCCGGCTCCCCATGTGGGGACATGAGATAAGCCTCCCACAAGGATGGTAAACATCAAAACATCCAGGTGTCCCCTGGGCAACACCCTTGCAGACGGCCAATTCTCTCACACCAGAAGCAACTTGCAGTTTCTCAAATCGTTCCTGACAGGAAAAAAAAATCTCTCTTCTCTCTTTCTGCTCTCATTCTGATTGGTTGTTTAAAATGCATACTTTTCTACTCCAATCTTTTTTGACTTCTGCCTTCTTACACATTAGTATGGAGAGTATGTGCTGTGTGCTTTGAGATCTCTCTCTTCTTGTGTTTCAGAAGAGATGCAGTGATTGAGTTTTCCCTCTCTTGAAATCTTAGAAGAGATGGGTGTTAGAGTAGCTCAGACCCAGTTCCTGATTATTAAGAAATGCAGTTATTTCTAATAATAATAATAATAATAATAAACCTTTATTTATACCCCGCTAACATCTCCCGAAGGACTGGGTGCGGCTTACAAGAGGCCGAGGCCCAACACAACAGTAAACAACAACACAACAAATACAACAATAAATAAACTTATAAAAAGAAAACAATAAGCATTAAAACAATAACAATACACATTAGACAATAACACCAYGACGCATTTAAAACTAAGGCCAGGCTAAATGTAATGATTAAAAAATTTAAAAATGCTGGGCATGACCAGGTRAAATGAATACTTTTTGGAGATTATTATTATTAACTTTATTTATACCCTGCTAACATCTCCCGAAGGACTTGGTGYGGCTTACAAGAGGCCAAGGCCAACACATCAATAAAACAACAGTATAACAAATACAACAACAAATAATAGGTGCGGTATGTAGACAATCTTAAATCTCTAGTAAAGTGCATTTRGGACTTGGAGTTTCCTACTCTGGGAAGGCACACTGGAACAGCCACGTCTTCAAGCTCTTCCTGAAGACTGCCAACGTTGGGGCTTGTCTGATGTCCTTGGGGAGAGAGTTCCAGAGTCGGGGGGCCACCACAGAGAAGAATTATTGTAAATATACCTTTTGTGATTTCTATGATTGGACTCTGCATATTTGCCTCCTAAGYTCTGAATTCTTCWCAACCACATCACATGGCACTTCACCCTTTGCATGCTGTGAGCTGACGCTCAACTTTTGTATCCTGTTTATGTTTTTGGATGCTCTGCTTTAATTTTAGGGTAGTTTTCCCTAACACTTTCCACAGTTGGAAAAAAGCCTCTTTGTTGGTTTGGGATTACGTTCTTGTCAGGAAAGGGTTTGAAGGGGAAATCTTCCCAATGTTGGTATTTACGAATGGAAGCAATGGTGAATTGAAGACATGTTGCCAGTCCAGATGTCATTATTCTGTCTGAGCAATCTGGCATCAAACGAAGCATATGCTTCGCTGTTTATAACAGTTTTGGAAATTTTACTTAACAACGGCATGCAAGAATGTATAGGAGGTTACTGGATAAAAACACCATTCACTTATCCTTAGTCAAAAATTACCAAATGAGTCACATATAAACATTATATGTCTTGAGCCTTTTTCTTACAGTTCAGGTTGTTATTGATATTAATAAAAAGTGCCAGTTAGTTGGATGCTAAGGTCAAGATGTTCTGGAACTGCCTGATCTGCTTTTCCTTGAGATTCCCAAGAGCTTAAGAATATTGTAGTTTCTAAAGTTTTTCTTGATTCAGAATAGTTAGAATTTCATGTCTCTTCCTTATTTTGACCTTATGGTCAATTCTTGACTCTCCCCTTCAAGGTGTCAAGGGAGCATGCGAATCTCACATTTTGTATATCTCAATGTGTGTGTTCCAGTGAGAGTTGAAGGAGTTGTTTTTGAAAAGCAACCAATTCCCATTACTTGTCACAGTCCTCAAAAGGCAATGGATTGATGTTTCAGTGAGTTATCCTGCTAACTTTACCCTACTAACTTGCTATGGTACTCAGTCCTTTTTTGCTTCTTTCCTTTAAGTTTTAATGCCATTTAATTTTTTTTTGCGGAAAGAACCTGATTGTTAGAAGAACAGAATGGGATAAAACATTATAAAATTCAGTTGCAAAGTTTTTAAAAAGGGTATTGAAAAAGATCTTTTGAAAGTAACCAGAAAAATATGAGTTGTTACTTGCAGCTCGCTGACTTCCTTTCAGAATATGGTATTGTTTTCATAGAATCATAGAATAATATAGTTGGAAGAGACCATGTGGGCCATCTAGTCCAACATGCAGGAAAAACACAATCAAAGCATCCCTGACAGAGAGCCATCCAGCCTCTGTTTAAATGCTTCCAAGGAAGGAGCTTCCACCACACTACGAAGCAGACAGTTCCACTTCTGAACAGCTCTTACAGCCAGGAAGTTCTGGCTAAATGCTTCCAAGGAAAGAGCTTCCACCACACTCTGAGGCAGAGAGTTCCACTTCTGAACAGCTCTTACAGCCAGGAAGTTCTGGCTAAATGCTTCCAAGGAAAGAGCTTCCACCACACTCTGAGGCAGAGAGTTCCACTTCTGAACAGCTCTTACAGCCAGGAAGTTCTGACTAAATGCTTCCAAGGAAAGAGCTTCCACCGCACTCTGAGGCAGAGAGTTCCGATTCTGAACAGCTCTTACAGTCAGGAAGTTCTTCCTTTAAAAAAAAATTTTTTATTATTTTATCATGGTTCAATACATTTGTTATACATTGTTTGTGTTACAGCAGGTACATATTATTCAATACAAGTTATTAAAATATTTTTCTCCCACCCCATTTCAAAAGAAAGAGAAAAATGCATAAAGAATCAGAGTTGGAAAGACCTCATGGGACATTCAGTCTAACCCCTTGCCAAGAAAATCTCGTTCAAAGCACCCCTGACAGATGGCCATCCCACCTCTGTTTAAAAGCCTCCAAAGAAGGAGCCTCCACCACACTACGAGGCAGAGAGTTCCACTGCTGAACAACTCTTACAGTCAGGTTTTCCTAATGTTCAAATGGAATCTCCTTTCCTATAATTTGAACCCATTGCTCCAAGTCCTAGTTTCTAGCACAGCAGAAAATAAGCCTGCTCCCTCTTCCTTATGACATCCTTTCACATCTTTATACATGGCTATTATGTCTCCTCTCAACCTTCTCTAATGAAGGCTAAACATACCCAGTTTTTTAAGATGCTTCTCATAGGAATTAATGGTCTCCAGACCTTTGATAATTTTAGTTTCCCTCTTCTGGATGCCTTCCAGCTTATCAGTATCTCTTTTGAATTGTGCTGCCCAGAATTGGACACAATATTCTATGTAAAGAGGTCTAACCAAAGAAGAATAGAAAGGCACAATGCCTTTCCAGTGTTTCTCAACCTGTGGGTCAGGAACCTGGGGGGAGGCCATGAGGGGGTTTCAGAAGGGTCGCCAAAGACCTCCCACCAAAAGCCCTCCTCTGATGTGATTGGCTGGCTTCCCAGCTGGCCTTTCAGCCAAGGAGATGGCTGTTTCTGAGACTTCAAGCAGGATGGGGAGCGGAGGTGTGCTCGGTGCATGGCAGTGTAGTATGCATGTGCAGGCGAGGGAGAGTGTGCCAGGCTGCAGGGAGGCTTGTACTAGTGAGTCCCTTCTAGGCATGGGTGTTCTGAATGCTGTTTGATTGTAGGTGAACAATAAATCCCAGAAACTACAACTCCCAAATGTCAAGCTCTATTTTCCCCAAATTCCACATTTGGCCATATTGAGTATTTGTTCTAAGTCTGGTCCAGATCCATCATTGAGTCCACAGTGCTCTCTGGATGTAGGTGAACTACAACTCCAAAACTCAAGGTCAATGTCCACCAAACCCTTTCAGTATTTTTTGTTTGTCATGGGAGTTCTGTGTAACAAGTTTGGTCCAATTCTATCATTGGTGGCGTTCGGAATGCTCCTTGATTGTAGGTGAACTATAAATCCCATCTCGCAAATGACAAAATCAATTATTTTGTCAATTTTCCCCAGAACTCCCCAACCCCACTAGTATTCAAATGTATTGGATATTTGTACCAAATTTGGTCCAGTGAATGAAAATACATCCTGCATATCAGACATTTACATTATAATTCATAACAGAAGCATAATTACAGTTATGAAGTAGCAACAAAAATAAATTTATAGTTGGGGGTCACCACAACATGAAGAACTGTATTAAGGGGTTTCAGCATTTGGAAGGTTGAGAAACACTGATCTAGACACTGTACCCCTTTGTTGCAGCCCAAAATCTATATAAATAAAAATGTAATGTCCGCTTGTGGGATTAACATAACTCAAAAACCGCAGGACGAAATGACACAAAATTTGGTCAGAAGACACCTAACAGCCCAACGAGTGACCTTCACTCATAAAAACACTGAAAAATACAGTGGAAGGGAGTTAAAAAACCACAAAAAACTTAATGATGATACAGTGCACGTGTGTAAACAACTCCTCTGACCCCACACCCTCCTGCTCAAGGGAAAGAGCTGGCCATACCAGCTTTGAGAGGAAAGAAAAAGGTAGAGAAGTAAGGAAGGAGAGAAAGATGAAGGGAAAGAAAAAAGTGGGGAAGGAAGGAAAAAGGGAGGGAAAAAAGGAAGGAAGGAGAAAAGGAAGGAAAAAAGAGGGACGGAATGAAAATGGGAGAGAAGGAAGGAGAGAAGGAAGGAAGGAAGGAAGGAAGGAAGGAAGGAAGGAAGGAAGGAAGGAAAGGAAGGAAGGAAGGAAGGAAGGAAGGAAGGAGAGAAAGGATGAAGGAAAGAGACATAAGAAAGGATGGAGAGAAGGAGGGAGGGAAAGAAGGAAGGAAGGAGCGAAGAAAGGAAAGAAAGAAAGAAAGAGGTAGAGAAGGAAGGAAGAAGAGAAAGAAGAAGGGACAAAAAGTGGGGGGGGGGGGGGGGATAAGGAAGGAAAGAGGTCGGGAAGGAAGGAAACAGACTGATGCCACAGCAAAGCGTGGCTGGGGACAGCTAGTAAATAAAWAAAACTTTATTTATATACCACCCTATCTCCCCTAGGGGATGCAGAGCRGTTTYCACATATGCAAAATAATACAAAAATGTACAATATAAAACAAAAACATAGGCATAACAACAACAACAACAATCTTTATTTCTACCCTGCTACCATCTCCCCATTGGGGACTCAATGTGGCTTACATGGGGCCAAGCCCGGACAACATAATACAGCAATAAAATCAAAACATATACATCAGACAGCAACAACATTATCAAAATGACATAAAATAAAAATAAAATAATAATAGTAATAATAAAATAAAAATAAAATAAAGTACCAATAGACATAATCACGATAGAAATGACAATGGGCGGGCCACATATTCCGAATAAAAACAATTAACAGACTATGATGAGATAAAATAGGAGCAGGAAGTTTAAATTGAACTCATAAAACACACAGAGTTATGGGGCAGAACATCCTATTTGGAGGGCACGAACATATACATAAGTTTGTATATGTATATGTTGTCAAGCCAGGCATCACCCATCCTGTATTTCTTCCAATAATATGAAAGAGAGGAACTGGAAAGTTCATGTCTTATCACTAGTTTCTTCCAAGCTCTATTTTTTATTCTTGGTGGGAGAGGAGAGGCATTTGCTCATCCTGCGTTCCTTCTGTCTCCTCCAACAGACCCTTCCGATGATGCAGCAGTGGCACCTACTCCTGGCTCTTCCTCCGCCTTGCAGCAACCGTACCACTGTGCCGTCTGCCAGCAGGACCTACTTCTCACGCCCACAGAGATCCTGCGGCACCGGAAGCAGCACCAGACGGCACCCTCCTGAGAGTAACAAAGGGAGAGAGACACTGTTATGGAAACCCAGGCAGGGTGCTTTTCCCAACCCATCTGGATGTCACTCTCCGGCTCTTCTTGGTTGGGGCTAAGACCAATCTGGATTGTTTTGGGAATAGGGCACTGTGAAAATGTGTCAGTGTTATGTGTGTACAAGAATGAATATCTGAAGCTGCCTGCTGTTTATCATTCCAGTGGGCCTTTGATGGGATGCCTCCTGCTGGGGCAAAACATTTAGCTCAGACCTCTTCAATCTGCGACCCTCCAGATGCATGGGTTTTTAACTCCCAGAATTCCTGACCATTGAACCAGCCTGATTGAGCTGTTTTGAGTCCTCTTGGCTCTCCCGTCACCACTCCCGTTGGACCAGTGCCTTGCAGAAGCTTCCTCCTTCAGCTGGGTCTTTCTGGCAGTAGAGTCGTCTCTCCTGATGCACTGTCTGATTTTGGACACTGAGTGGCAGCCTTGCCACATATGGCATTGGGCTTGAAGACAGGTACCTGCACTGTCTGCAGATTCCTAGTGTTTATGTTTTCGATGGGGAGGGGAAATTGTTATTTTTCAAGCTGCAAGAGCAAAAATGTGTTTGATTGTAATGGGTTTATTCTGCGAGAAATACTTGGATCTTTCAATTTGATATGTCCTCCAGTGTAACTTCTGGGGGAAGTGTGCCTGAAGGACCTAGAAAATTCCTATAGATGTTAATTTCTCCTCCTGGGTGAATGGTTAGAAGGCATTATCATCCAGTCTGCAGACGACAACAAATTGGGAAGGATAGCTAATACTCCAGAAGATAGCAGAAGAATTCAAAACGATCTTGACAGATTAGAGAGATGATTGACCAAAACTAACAAAATGAAGTTCAACAGGGATAAATGCAAGATACTCCACTTAGGCAGAAAAAATGAAATGCAAAGAGACAGAATAGGAGACGATGCCTGGCTCGATAGCAGGACGTGTGAAAAAGATCTTGGAGTCCTCGTGGGGAGGAAGTTAAACATGGGCCAACAATATCATAAAAGGTAATGGTTTCCATGACATGAAGTCCAGTCATGTCCAACTCTGGGGTGTGGTGCTCATCTCCATTTCTAAGCCCAAGAGCCGGTGTTGTCTGTAGACACCTCCATGACTGCATGGAGCGCCATTACTTTCCTGCCAAAGCGGTACATATTGATCTACTCACATTTGCATATTTTCGAACTGCTAGGTTGGGAGAAGCTGGGGCTAACAGCGGGAGGTCATCCTGCTCCCCGGATTCAAACCGGTGACCTTTCGGTCAGCAAGTTCAGCAGGTCAGCGGTTTAACCCACTGTGCCACCGGGGGCTCAACAATGTCATGAGGCAGCTAAAAAATCCAATGGGATTTTGGCCTGCTTAAATAGGAGTCTAGTGTCTAGATCCAGGTGAATCATGCTACCCCTCTATTTTGCCTTGTTCAGACCACACCTGGAATCGTACTGTGTCCAGTTCTGGACACAGCAATTGAAGTGAGTTGTTGACAAGCTGGAATGTGTCCAGAGGAGGGCGACTAAAATGATCAAGGGTCTGGTGAACAAGCCCCATGAGGAGCGGCTTAAAAAGCTGGGCATGATTAGCCTGCAGAAGAGAAGGCTGAGAGGAGACATGATGAGAGCCATGGATAAATATATGAGGGGAAGTCATAGGGAGGAGGGAGCAGGCTTGTTTTCTGCTGCCCTGGAGACTAGGATGTGGAACAACGGCTTCAAACTACGGAAAAGGAGAACATGAGGAAGGACTTCCTAACTGTGAAAGCCATTCAGCAGTGGAACTCTCTGCCCCAGAGTGTGGTGAAGGCTTCTTCTTTGGGGGCTTTTAAACAGAGGCTGAATGGCCATCTGTCAGTGGTGCTTTGAATGAGATTTTCCTGCTTCTTGGCAAGAGGTTGGATTGGATGGCCCATGAGGTCTCTTCCAACTCTAGAATCTATGATTCTGTGGGTGGTTAAGAAAACCACGGATATAGGTTATTGTACTTTAAAACAGTGCTATCCAAGGATGGTCCTTAACCCATTGGAAAGAAAGAAAGAAACAGCTATAGTCAAACAGCACAAATTTAGTGCTGGGACACTGGAAAATAAAGATTGGCAGTCTTTCACGTCAGCCAGTCTGCTTTAAAACAAATTGCACCAATCCTCATTGGGTTCCTGTGTTGAACTTTTTTTTCATTCCACTTTTTCTCTTTTTGAGTCCCATGGGAAGCAATGGTTGAAAACTCTTGGATTTTGCTGCCAAGGTGTGGATTCTGGTCCTTGCACCAGTCTCACTTTGGTCCTGGAGGTGGCGATGTTGCCAAGCCAGAACCAAAGCATTTCCTTCCACTCGCCCATCCCAAAGTATCCTTCGAAAACAGCCGTGGTCATTACGGTTATTATCATCGTAATATTTATTTATGTTCCACCATTTCCCCAGGCTGGGGGACACAATGGAGCTTGCAAAACCTGAAATGGAGACAGCTCAAACTTTACGTCACACCAAAGTTATAATTAGACTATGAAAAGCACTTGAAAACCAAGCCCATTAAAAAGCATAAAATATGACAAATATGGCTGTTATAACACATTATTAAAGGCCTTGAAGCAATCATTCCTCAAAAGACCTGATGAAACATTGCAAGATGGAATTCTGCCACAGCCAAGCCATGAATGAATGTGAAACATTGAGCACTAAGGCTCTACAATAGGTGACTATATTTTTGTATGTGGACTATTTCAGCAAAAAATACTATTTTGTAAAAAAAGTAATAAAAATATCCCTTTTGTTAGATATAATAAACCAATGTGGTGTGTTGGTTTAAGTATTTGACAAAGCTCTGGATTTGAATTCCTGCTAAGCCATACAAGCCTACTTTGGGCAGGTTACACTCTCTCAGCCTTAGAGGACGTTAGGAACAATTCTTGCTCATAAATCCCTGTGATGGGGTCACCATAAGCCAGAAGCAACTTGAAGGCATTCAACAACAAAGTTAAATATAACTACAAAAACACTTTTAGTAAGCCCAACCAAAAATGGAAGACTGATGGTGTAAACCAGGGACCACTTTGACCAGGCACCACTCTCCAACATTAGTACCAAAAGGGTTACGAATCAGTTTTTCATCAACTGTAGATTCTATTTTATTATTTGGGGTGCTGATTCAGGAAATTGCATTGGATAGACCACATCAGCTCTAGTTTTTGATACAGAATATATGCCCATCCAGTAGTCGTCATCTGCTCAGCCACAGAAAACCATCTATATATAAATAGAAATGTAATGTTTGGATTAACATAACTCAAAAACCACTGGACGAATTGACACCAAATTTGGACGCAATACATCTATTAGGCCAACAAGTGACCATCACTCATAAAAGCATTGAAAAACACAACAGAAAGGAATTAAAAAGCCAAAAAAAAAAGGTAAAAAGATGCTACAGCGCATGTGAAAAAAAAGACTCCCCTGGCAAACAAAACACACAATAGCATATCCACACCCTCTTCCGGACTGCAACTCCCAGCATCCCCTTAATCAGGCCCTTTAGGAGAGTAGGATGATCCAAATGCACTGCTTTCAAGCTGCAAGCTTTCTTCTTGGATTTCTGAGAGCATCCCAATCCCTGCATATTTCCAATTTCCTATTCCTGGACTGTAACTTCCAGCAATCCTCCAGATAGAGAGATTAGATGGAGATAGGTAGGTAGATAGATTGATCAGGAGGGCTGCTGGGAGTTGTAGTCCAAGAATAGGTAGAGAAGAAAGAAGGGGAAAAAGGGAAGAAAAGAGGGGGAGTGGAAGGAAGGGAAGAAGAAGAGAAGGAAGGAAGGAAGGAGAGAAGGAAAGAAAAATAGGGAGGGAAGGAGAGGAAGAAGGAGATTAAGAGGGAGGCAAAGTTGGCCACAGCAACACGTAGCGGTACAGCTAATCTATATAAATAAAAATGTAATGTTTGTTTGTGGGATTAACATAACTCAAAAACCACTGGACAAACTGACACCAAATTTGGACACAATACACCTATCAGGCCAACAAGTGACCATCACTCATAAAAACACTGGAAAACACAGTGGAAGAAACTTTAAAAGCCAAAAACAAAAAAAAAATACATTACAATGCATGCACAAAACCACACATATGCTAACACACATATATACACAAATATATATGCACACATATACACAAACACAAAACACATACACGGACTGGGCCACAGCAACACGTGGCAGGGGATTGCTAGTATTTAATAAGCCTCGGCACTATAAGAGGGTTTTGCAAGACCAGTCACTCTTGTTGCAATGGTGTCGTAGTGGTGAAGCCACGGACCATATTTTAGTTCTTGAGGACCAGTGGTGGTCCACGGATCATAGGTTGGGAAGCCCTGGTGTAAACCCAGGCATGGGCAAACTTTGGCCTTCCAGGTGTTTTGGACTTCAACTCCCACAATTCTTAACAGCCAGTAGGCTGTTAGGAATTGTGGGAGTTGAAGTCCAAAGCACCCTGAAGGGCCAAAGTTTGCCCATGCCTGGTGTAACCACTCATCCCCTTGTTATTGGCGTTTTTAGCAAATGACAGCTTCTGTTCTGATAATTAGCTGAACCCCTCCCTATAAAGCTGTGCAAGCCTCGACCCCTCCCAATCCAAAGAAGCTCCCTGTGATTGCAGAAGAACCCTTGGCTGCAAGAGGGGCCCTGGGGGAGCATAAATGAGAATATATGGTTGTGGAGATTTAAGGGCAGGTACGTAACTCATCGCTCTGCTCTGTTACAGTTGACAGGTTTAGAGAGGTGGCCGGATAAATCTCCGCCAAGGAACGCTGCATGTCGAGGGAGGAATCAATAGCGAGCGCATCGCTGTTGGTGTCATAGGGCTGGCACAAGTCCCTGGTTGTGCAGACGAAAGGGGTACAAACACGGATGAGAAATGCCAACATGGTGCCAGCATTCTGCCCTAGACTTGGAGCTGGCCTTTACTCTAGGTCTGGCTTTTGCCATTTAGAAATCAAGGTGAATGGGGTAGAGTTAGATTTGTTGGGCGAGTGGGCTTCTTAACGGAAGACCCTCCCCATAAATGCACAGCAGAGTAACTTATTAGCGGTAGCGTGACCCAGCACCAGTAGCCCAAAGTGATAAAAAGAAGAAAAACACACAGACCAATGTTATCGCTTCCTTAGGAGGCTTTTCTTTATATCAAAAGAATATGGTTGCATTATTTACAAGAACAAAGTTCAACCTTCACACTGGAGCTTCACACATGAGGTTTTCTCATAACAAGGCCTACCTCACATTATGAGGCCTTTCTCCCACAGCGAGGCCTAATACCACTGAGACATATTCTTCCACACACAGACCAATGTTATCTCTTCCTTAGGAGGGTTTTCCTTTATAGCAAAATAATATGGTTGGACTATTTACAAGAACAAGGTTTCCATGACATAAATAAAGTCCAACCTTCACACTGGAGCTTCACACACAAGGCCTTCTCATAATGAGACTTACCTCACACTGAGGCTTTTCTCCCACAGTGAGGCCTACTACTACTGAAACATATTCTCCCACTGTGGCATTCTCTCACACAAAGACCAGTTATCTCTTCCTTAGGAGGCTTTTCTTTATAGAAGAAGAATAATGGTTGAACTATTTAAAAGAACAAGGTTTCCATGACACAAATAAAGTTTAACCTTCACACTGGAGCTTCACACGAGGCCTTCTCATAACGCGGCCTACCTCACACTCTGAGGCCTTTCTCCCACAGTAAGGCTTACTATCACTGAGACATTCTTCCACTGAGGCGTTCTCTCGTACACAGACCAATATTATCTCTTCCTTAGGAGGCTTTTCTTTATAGTAAAATAATAATGGTTGCACTATTTACAAGAACAAGGTTTCCATGACACAAAGTTCAACCTTCAAACTGGAGCTTCACACATGAGGCATTCTCATAATGAGGCCTACCTCACACTCTGAGGCCTTTCTCCCACAGTGAGGCTTACTACCACTGAGACATATTCTTCCACTGAGGCATTTTCTCACACACAGACCAATGTTATCTCTTCCTTAGGAGGGTTTTCCTTTATAGCAAAATAATATGGTTGGACTATTTACAAGAACAAGGTTTCCATGACATAAATAAAGTCCAACCTTCACACTGGAGCTTCACACACAAGGCCTTCTCATAATGAGACTTACCTCACACTGAGGCTTTTCTCCCACAGTGAGGCCTACTACTACTGAAACATATTCTCCCACTGTGGCATTCTCTCACACAAAGACAAGCCCACGCCAGAGCTCCCTGTTAGCCATCACCACCCCCAGCTCCTTCAAGGTCAAGCCAGTCACTTCAAGGATGCCTGCCATCTATCTTGCTCTTGGTCGGCCCCTCTTCCTTTTTCCTTCCATTTTCCCCAGCATAATTGTCTTCTCTAAGCTTTCCTGTCTTTTCATTATGTGGCCTATTCTCCCACTGAGAATATTCTCCCACTGAGGCCTCTCACACAGAGAGGCTTCTCTCACACTGAGAGCTCTCTCAGACTAAGGCATTACTAAGCAACCGTCACACCTACTTATATAGAACTGCAGCTTTTGCTGAGTCATTGCATCCATTTAATCCTTTCAATGCTTGACTCACATTTTTGTAATTAAAAATGCCTAGTTAATTTTTAATATTTCTGAAAGGTTTGGCATTGCTTTCCAAACATTCCTATAGAGTAGATAACCATGTCTAAAGTCAACATTGACAGCTGTCTGGTAGGGCTCATCAGCTATTGAATTTGGGGCTCACTGAAGGTCAGATGCCAGCCAAGCAGCTTGGCTAAACTATGGAGTAGAGTGCCTCTGAATGTGTATTTGCTTATGTCTGTTTCAACGTTCTTCTCCTTGTTGACTTGGCTCTTCTTCAGCTCATTGGGAGAAAAGCAGCCAAAATAGCAAACATGCTTCTTCTCTCCAGGAGAATTTCTGGCATCTGCTTGTTGCGTTATTTAAGCATTGAGAATATCCCCCGCCCTTTTGAAGAATGCATTCTGCAAGGTGGCATGTGTATGTGGATGCATTCGTATACATACCCAAAGGATTAAGCAGTAATAAAAGATCCCGCTGCTTCCAGCGATGCAGGCAAGCTGTTGAGAGAGAGACACACCTCCTAGCACAAGGCTGTTAATATTTCCCATTCAACCAGGACAGAAGCACTACAAATGGGACAATTCTATTTACGCAGGCAGCTTTGCTGTGGAAGAAGGAGAAAGTGATGGAGAAGAATGGATATAAAGAGGAATCAACAGCCTCTGTGGTCAGGGATTCATAAGGAAGCCCCCATTTCTGTTTAACACGTGGCATTGAGCACTTCTGCATGTCAGTCCTAAGCAAATGGCAGTAGCAAGGATCTCTGAATTTTAGGGCGCTTGGAGCGAATCCTGGGGAAATATGATTGCACAAAGTAAATCAAGCGAGCACCGCCAGCATTTTATGCAGAAGCAGATAGACTGCAAGAAAGGCTGTCATTGAGATCTTAAATCTCTGGGCACAAAAGCTATGTTCTACCTGCGAAATGTGAACAAAAAATCCATTTTTGTGCAAAGTACTAAACACCTGCCAATCTGATGTCATCTTGGACATATAATGAGATGGTGTTATTCACTGGAAAACGTGCTAACAGTTAAAGTGGAAGGCAGAACAGGAGAAGATCACACAACAGGTGAATTGATTCAATCAGAGAAGCACATGCCATGGCTTTGCAAGATCTGAGCAACGCTGTTGTTGTTGTTATTGGAAATTCCATAACCTATTGGAAATAAGTGCACCA